CCTTTTGTGACAGAGCCTCCTTTTTGAAGGCGTCAGGACTCTGTGCTGTCAGCAATCATATGTGTGATTGTCAACAGTCCAAAGAAAAAACGAGAGAAAAAAAAAACTTGAATTAATAGTCCCTTTTCATTGGTCTTATATAATATTCTAATTTTCAGACAAACATCTAAGCTATTAACATTACTAAATCGTAATAATCTGAGATGCCTTAAGAAACTTGTTTGATAAATCTGTATGTGACAGATTATTTAAATTGAAGCAATTGAAATAAATGTGCTTAGAGATTATGCTGTGGTTCATATTACAATATTACAACATACATTTAGAGATGAGTGTTATGAGTAGCAGTCCTGAGGCTCAACACCATGAATGTTTGCATTTTCTGTCTTTCCTGTAAGTAAGGAAAGTGTGTAAAAGCTCTTTTCGGTCTACAGCAACAAACGGGGAAGGAGGGAACATTGTGCAGCTTTATGCTCCATACAGCTGGAGAAAATTCTGGTTGCTTTGAACTTTCTCTGGTGTCTCATTTTGATGAGCATTTTTGTGGTTTGGAAAGTGAGACTGTAAATCTCTCGCTGCATCTCGATATTAGTAACTGGTGCAGACTACTTATGACATATAAAACCCCCTAAAAACTAAACAGTCCTAATGCATTTTAACGCGCTTCATCTACTAGAATGTCAAATGATCTGGCAAGTAATCTGCGCTGTGAATCATTGAGCTGCTTTCTTAAATATTCAAAGAGAGTTTGATCACAGATACTACTTGTTCTGAACATTTATGCAGATATAAAGTCCCATATTGAAAAAGGCCAGATTAATAAAGGATTTCTCCATCTCAGTCACTGCTTTCAGAGGCTCTCTATGCCATGGCGTGGAGCCAAATTGGGCACACATTCATGCTTTGTTGACCTCTCTTAATAATCAGTCTGGCAAGATTTCCAACCCTGCTGAAGATCAACAGGAGTCTTGTACAGACATTGGTCCTGGCATATTCAATTTAATATCACATAATGGAACGAGGCGGGTGTTCTGACTAAAAGCTGTCACAATTAATAAATTGTCATCCCGTTTTGTTGTGTGTGCAGACTCAAGTCAGCTTTGCCAATATTTTATAGTGCTCTCTGTTTACATGCATTAAAACAGCAAATCATAATTAATCATGTTAATATATGTCAGTGTTTTTATGTTTCTTCTCACCATTTGAGAAGTGGTACAGTAGTGGGAAAAAAAAGTCCAGATTATTTCTCTAGTTTTCTCTCTACATTAGCGCTGCACAAATGTTCTTGCACATCCTTCTTCACCAATGATTTAACAGTCGAGTAGAAAATGAGTGCCACTGATTAGTTATCATATGGAATTTATTTCCATTTTTCTTTCTTTCTTATGGTCACAGACGCCTTAAAGAACAAAACTAAGCAGGGGATAATTAGTTGGATCTGAAGCACAGGCAGAAGGTGGCAGTCAGAGGCAATTATAACACTCCTCTTGTGTGTGATGATGAGCTCTGAACTAGAGATCCTAAAACACATCTACTTATTTCATCTTGGATTAATAGGCTCTTCTAAACTGCTGATGGCTTCTTTATTTTTGTTATTTAGACACAGTTGAACAATTCCATGTGCCTGTGATCAAAAATAATAATAATAATAATAATAAAAGATTTAAACAGCATCGTTAGGAAAACTAAAAGCACTACATGAACCCACTACCCAAAAAAAAAAAAAACACACACACACACACACACCACCACAACCACCCAAAAAACAAGCTCTATTATTTTTTATCAAACGTACCACACCTGCTGCTGCCTCTGGTCTGCGATGATACAAGGCTCATCTCCCTGTAGTCCAGAAGCATAAAGACCTCTGATAAAATGTACAATTCTTGAGTCTAATAATTTATTTCATCTCGACACTTCTAATGTGTGTTAAAGGTGCTGACTATCATGAGTTGAGATGCACCAGATTTAAGGATCTAAATAACTGCTGCATTATGTTAAAAGTAGTAAAAGTTATTAGCACTTCTTACTGCTTGCATCTCAATAAACCGACGACACTCAGAGTATTGCTGAATATCTAGTCAGTTTAATTTGTATGGCACATTTTAGGAACAAGGCAGTTCAAACAAAGTGCTTTACACCATAAAAACATAAAACAGACACCAATTGTGAAACAAGCAATTAACATTACATTTTGTCAAATGCCATGCCAAATGCTATCCATTTGTGAATGTGTTCATTTTGTTTAAAACCAAATTCTCATGGATTTTAAACACTTGGCAATACCTAAAAGGTCAGTTCTGTGTAATTTAACCTCATAAAGAGATGGATCAAAGTGGGCAGTAAAAATTGTTACACTGACAAACTATCAGGAACTAGAATACAGGAACACCTAGCTCCAGTTCTGGCTTCACTTCAACGGTTTGCTGTTTATTACAGAATTGATAAAAAAAAAATTTACTGTTTTTTTAAAGTCTTAATGATTTCCCCCATTGCTATACATCCACAAACACAGAAAGGGGGAAAATAAAAATAAAATTGCACTTGAACATTCCAAGGTCCAAACAAAAATGTCCCTGCTTTGTGAAATAATGTACCATTCCAAAATCTGGAGACTTTTAATGAGCTTTTAAAGACACACTTCTACTTTTTTTGGTTTTTGAGCAAAGAAAGAACTGGGTATCTGAATGTGGCTCTAGTTTAAAGTGCTTTCAGTCTTCAGTTTTCAAATACTCAAACACATTCAGAAATTGTTTTGTTGTCCTTTTTGGCAGATGCTTGCTCCACAAATTTAGCAAACGTCCTACTTATATGCTATAAAGTGCATTTGTGACAATACATTTACAGCCATTTTACCACTTCTGAGTTGGTGTGCAAGCCGTCTGAGAATTTTGGGGAATTTTCAAGCGGAACAAACGGTCCACATAAATGTCTCCTTGATTAGATAACAATGCTGACAATCAGTTTAATTTATCAAATCTGCGTGAGATTAGACGTGTCTGGCATTGATGATATTTGAATTTATTGCAGTCATTACATCCAACTGAATGATGAATTAAAAACAAACATGAATATCTTAATTGAATTGCATGTAATGAAACGGGCCTTTTGAAGAAACAAATATCACAGTTTTGTTTGGCGAGCGTTTTATGCCCAGGAGATGGTGTTGAGATTGTGAGATGTGCTGACTGGCAGCGACTTTGATCTTAATTAAGATTAGAAGCATCCATCATTTGCAGCTGTGTGAAGTCCATATCGTTATTATTTCCCAGAGGTATTTGTAGGTGAGACAGGATAAATTGCTTCCATCAAGTCTATAAAACTGGCCATATTACAAGCGGGTGAGACCTTTGCCCTCCTTCACCCGGTTTTTAATGTACTCCTGCTGGCTGTGCCTTTTGCATGGCCCCCCGACCGCTCTGCTGGATTTCCTCAGCTGATCTCTTTTGTGTCATGATAATCCACAATATGATGAAATCAAGTTGTGATGGATAAGGAAGGAGCCTCTCTGTGCATTCTCTTTTGTGTTTGTATTGATGTTACAAGCCAGCATTTCTTGTTTTCATTTATTTTTTTGTTTGGCTGGCGAGGCTGTAGCCTTTTGCAAACAAAGTAACTATTTGTTCAGCCATGTAGGCTTTTGTTGAGAGGGGTCTATTTTTGTCCAAAATAATAGTCTAATGCACATCAGGGCCAGTCACCATGGCAACTCATACTCTTTGTGGACACACAGTGTGTGTATATTTTGATCCAGTGAAAGAGTTGAATCATTATACCACTAATCCATCAGCAGGAAGAAAGCACCCGGGAAAGTGAGCAAAAAAGAGGAGGTCGGAAAGTCATAGTTGTGATAGACTGAAATAGACCAAATTAGTGCAAAAGATTTTTTTAGAGCTGCCTCTCTGCCTCTTTCTAGGCTCACTCTCTGCACAGTCATGAGTCTGTGCACATCAGTAAGTAGAAGGTGATGCCTACACATTTTCTTCCAAGGTGCTGATTGGTTGCTTCATGCAGATTTCCTTTTATATCCTCACATTTGGATTACACTTTTGCCTGTTTTTGATCACTTACCTGTCTCTTTTGTCTTCCTTTTTTCCTTTAAAGAGCACAGAGCAGGTCGCCGCTTTCTGCCGCAGTCTCCATGACATGAATCCCTCAGAGTGTGTGTCCTCTTCGCCGAGCCCGGATTCACCCTTCCCGCCTACCGCGACTCCCCGACAGCTGTCTGATGCCGACAAGCTCCGCAAAGTGATCTGTGAACTCGTGGAGACCGAGCGCACCTATGTCAAAGTCAGTATCGATCATCAGACTCGTTCCAAGCAGATGGTGTTTGTGAGTGCATATGTTCTCCTGTGCAGCAGTCAGAGATTCTATCCGTCTTGAGATGTGCTCCGTCTTCATATTGTCTATTCTATATAACCGATCCATATTTATCTCTGCGTCCCCGGAGATGTGATGGGGGACACAGCTGTGTCCTTGTCTGGATATTTTCTAATCTTTTCCAGCTTGGAATAAAAATGGCTTGGTGGAATAACTGGGTTAGAGATGGTATGTAATGGGAAAATGTCAAGACTGTCTTAATGATTGCCAGTCCAGGGGGCACAAATGGGCTTACTATAGAAATCACATTACAAATGATTGATTGTATATTGCACAAGGTTCAAGTGGAATTGGTGATTTGTTTTAATTTACTTTAGTCTGGTGCACTTTATGTTTGTATGTTTAATTGCTGCTGAAAAACACCACAGAGACTTAAAAGCCAGAGGAATAAAAGTCTTTAGTGATAATGAATGATCTGAAATGAATGCTGCTGTCAAATTAATTTGTAAGTTTGCTGGTATACAAGTTTATTATGCACATGCATTTCAATGAGTTAGAATATTGTCCAAATGGTCATTTATTTAATTAATTCTGTTAAAAAAGGGGAAACTCCTAATGATTTGCACAGAGCAATATTTTTGTTAATTTTTATTATAAAGGTTCATGGCTAATGAAAACCCAATACTCTGTCTCATAACAATCTGATTTTTTTGAGGAACAAATTTAAAAATAAAAGGCTTAATACGGGAATGTCTCTCTTCATAAAGATTTCTTCTTGTATTGTACAGTATACGTGTTCAATACTTAGATGTTTGTTGTTTTTTTTGGCATTGCTACTATATTAATGTGACAGTAATACCAAAGGTCGGTCTTTGCTATTACTAGTTTGGTCAGGATTCAGTGTGACTGGAGTGGGTGCCTTAAGAACCACCACATAGCTGCTTGTCCATTGAACAACAGTCCAGTTCTCCTTAGCACAGGTTGTACCGTAGCACAGGTCATGTCTCTGGTTGAGGAGTCGCTGAACAAAGTAAGTCACAGTTGTAGACTATGCCCTACATACTGTGGCTATATGGTGGCTCTTGAAGCACCAACTCCAGTCACACTGAATCCTGACCAAAATAGTGAATCGCAAATTCAAACCACACTTTTCCTTTCAGTCAATTTATATGTAAGACGCCAGCCACATTTTATGATGAGAATTTGTTGGTTACCCCTGCCTTGCTATACATCTATCAAGTCCACGCTTTTTCCCATGATTGTACGAGTCATAACACTTCCGTATTACATATTTTTTCTTCAAATTGTCGTTATGGCATATTGTCATTTTCTGAGAAACTGAACTTTGAGTGAATTGCTGCCCATAGGTTGCCTACTACAGTTTAAAAACACAGTTGTCTTAAGAATAATGAGTGGGCAAATACTTAAAAATGTGCAACCTTTTGCCCCCAGTTGATTGCAGTGTGTAGAAACAGCACCATTTTATGAAAAATCCAGTCAGTATGATCTTATGTAATCAGTCATACTGAGAGACTGAAGTTTGGGTTTTCATTGCCTGTAAGCCATAAACATCAAAATGTACTGAAATAAATATTTTAACCATATCAATCTGTGGGTAATAAATCTAGATATAATTAACTTTAAATTAATTTACTGAAATTAATCAGCATTTTGAATTATTTTGTTTTTATTGTTGAGCTCCACTCATACTCCTGTTTGTCTTTTGGCTTTAGACTGGAGATCACACAGTTTGCTGTGCAGATGTCTCTTTAGTGCTTGTTTCTGAAAAACTGCTTGTTTTAGGATGATTTAGAATCAGCCATTTTACACACTGTTATTCGTAAAAAACTTTCCACATATCACATTTATGAATCTGTTGGTGCCTGCAGTGGTTTATAATAGTGTTTTGCTCATTCGTATTAAACCAAGTCCTCAAGACTGGCAACATTTCTCTCTGACTTTTATCACCCAGAGTCTATTTCCTATAATGTCCCACATAGTGACAGAACACAATTAAACACACTTAACTCTTGCCTTGCAGGATCTCAATTGTCTCATTGGGAGATATTTAACCCCACTGCAGAAAGAGAATTTCCTCACACAGGATGAGGTATGTGAAATGTTTCCCATGCATGAACTTTTAAGAGGTAACTTGGCTTTTAGATGCCAGTGCTGCTGAAATATTCTATTAATGGTTTGTTGCATAATCATGTGAAGTGTTGCCTTGTAGAAGAAGACGGATGGATGGCAATTAGAGAGAGAGATTTTTACATGCATTTGCAATATTAAAATTCATGTTGTATGTTAGTTTGAGTTTTTGTAACTGTTACAAAGTACTAAAAATTTGACACTAGTAGACATGGAAATATTTTTTTTTTCCCCAGCTGGATGTTCTATTTGGCAATTTGCCAGAAATGGTGGAATTCCAGGTTGAGTTCCTAAAAACGCTGGAAGACGGAACCAGATTGGTTCCAGATCTGGAGAAGTTGGAGAGTGTGGATCAGTTTAAGGTACAAATATTTCTCTTTTTTTAGACATAATCCTAGAATATAAACAGCATCAAGCATTCAGACAACCTATGAACTTTTTTCTGACTCTGTGAACTCTCTCACAGAAAATACTCTTTTCTTTGGGAGGCTCTTTCTTGTACTATGCGGACCGTTTTAAGATCTACAGTGCTTTTTGTGCCAGTCATACTAAAGTCCCAAAGGTTCTTGTGAAGGGTGAGTCCTTTTTTTTTTTTTTTTTACATTGGGCTGACATTCCACCTTGGCTCAAAGGACAGTGTGTATTTAACCATCTGCTGTATACTGCAATTCTCCATAAATCTGCTCTTCATCATTGTCAGCCGCAGTTGTCCATCTGACCCCCATATACTTTCCAGCTAGAAGTTCTTGAGGTTAAAAGCCTGGCTAGATTATATGATATGTAATTAGAAGTGTTGAACAGACTCTTCTGAAGCTACTACACCCACTCCCTTTCTAACTTCACTGGATAGCTTTGTTTGCCACATTCATATTCAGTGAGTCAACTGCTTTTCTGCTGTGCAGGTTTTGATGGCGGTATTAAAATAAAGCACTTTAAATATGCTTATTGATTCTTCCTCCTCGCTTTTCACACAAAAATACCAAATGGGTTGCATTTGGCAAGCCTGTGGTTTTGTTTTGCTTTTCTGAGAGACAAGCAGAAATGTGTGCCCTCTGGATCAATAACAGGGCCTTTATTACTACCACTATTTCTTGGTTATCTCTCAAGTCCATGACTTGCTGCAGTCTGCTGGGTTTAGCAGACCAAGACATTTTTGAACTTGTTAGGATAATTAACAGAGCTTAATGTACTGTTTGATGGCAATGTATGCGTGATTGAATTGACTTTATTTTATTTTTGCAAAGTGACTCAAGATGGCATTTGTTGTGATTTGGTGCTATATAAATAAACTAAATTGAACTGAAGTACTTTTGGGCATGGTGACTATGGGATTCTCATAATATGACAACTCTGAGTTAAACTGTCACAGTTCTATGGTATTTTCATACAGTTATAACATTTTACTTTGTTTTCACTTTGTGTACAGTCTTACAGGTCTAATGAAGAAGAAAAAAAAAGACAAAAAATGCGTATTTTGCATTCATACAAAGTTTTAATCAAAATTTTGCTTTTAATTGGTTACTACTAATAAAAAAAAAACTATTAAAGCCTACGACTTTCCAAGTGTAGTCATAAAGCAGAGTCAAATATCAAAATTCTTGTTGCCATGTGATGTCATTGTGGACAAACGATCCGGCTGCCAGCATATCTGTCTTTGACAATGAATTAGATTTTTTCAATGGAATTACATGTACTGTACCAGTTTGAACCTGTCATACAGAATGGAGTATCTGCTATTCCTCACCTTAGGTCTTGCTGGATGAATCTGTGATAATTGGGAACTTAACTACTAACTTCAGCCTGTGTGTTATGCTGCTTTGATTCCACTCATTCCTGTGCGCACACCTCCATCAGGCTGCTTTTCTCCGGTTAGAGTAGGTGATGTTTAATGAGCCGTGTCCCCTACTGCAGCCCCGTTCGAGGCGTTCAGTGTAGCCATTTGGGTAATGAACGAGGCAGGTCCTAGACTGAAGCTTATATTTAAAAATGACCATGTCATTTTCTATTATATTCCAAATAATTACTGCCCGCTTCACCTAAGCAGGCAATTTATATTTTGATATCCCTTGAATACAAGTATTTCACCTGACCTATGCAAAACCACATGTAAAAAAAATATTTATTTATACTGCTAAGGATTGCATGATCTCTTCCAACCTTTTGCAAACACAATGTTATTTTTGTCATTGCAGCCAAAACCGACCCTAATTTCAAGGCCTTTCTTGATGAGCGGAACCCCAAGCAGCAGCACTCCTCCACCCTGGAATCCTATTTGATTAAACCCATACAGAGGGTGCTAAAATACCCCCTTCTGCTAAGGGAGCTCTACTCACTGACGGACCCAGACAGTGAGGAACACTACCACTTGGATGGTAAGACAATGTCAGAGTTTACTGAGGATACAAAATTCTTTTCATCACAGAACTGAAATGAATCCCTGAACGGACACAACAGTTTAGCTGAAAACATGTTTTCTGCTTGACATAGTTGCTATAAAAGCCATGAACAAGGTTGCCAGCCACATCAATGAAATGCAGAAGATCCACGAGGAGTTTGGAGCAGTGTTTGACCAGCTGATCACTGAGCAAAGCAGTGAAAAGAAAGACGTAGGTTTGGACAAGTGCAGCCTTTTTGTTGTCAAAAAAAAGAAAAGAAAAAAAGTCCCTGTGGGATGACGATGTTGATATTTTCACACAACTGCCAGGTGGCTGATCTATCGATGGGCGATTTGCTGCTTCACAACACTGTGACATGGATCAACCCACCCATTTCTCTGGGAAAATGGAAGAAAGAACCACAGATGGCAACATTTGGTACGTCAGTGATGATATTCAGTTTAATCAATCTATTTTGTTTTCCTACAGTTTCAGCAATAAATGCACTAGAATATGGTACTTTGTTAAAATAGGCTATAAAACCCAGAATTTAACATTTATCACTTGTACTTTGACATTTAGTATTCATTATGATAATAACCACAAGTAATCTTATGCTCAATTAAGGAAAGGTAACCCAGTGAGGATATTTGGGGTTTATTTAGTAACAAAATATATTTATATGCAAAAATATGTAGGATTGAAAATAATCAAACAAATCCAATTAATGAACAAACATAAAATGTGCTTTAAAAAATGTCACTTCTTTTAATATTTGTCAGATACAGTAGAGAAACAAATGTCTGCATTTCCAATGGATTAAAAATGCAAAGCCCACACAAAAGGGTACAAGAGTCTGCTACACAATAATTAGTGATTATTTGGAGGTAACTGATGTCTGCCATTTTCTTCTGCCTTTCAGTTTTCAAAACTGCTGTGGTGTTTGTATGCAAAGAAGAGTCCAAGCAGAAGAAGAAAATTGTACGTTTTCACACAAAAAGGCACATGCATTCTGTAACTGTACAAGCAACATTTAGAAGCAGCTTTAATATAAATATTATATTTATCCGATTTAAGGGCGGCTCACATCGAGTTTCTGTATCTTCGGAAGAAAAAGATCCTTTCCGATTCCGTCACATGATTCCTACAGATGCCCTTCAAATCCGATCCATGTCAAACACAGGTAGATGCTCCATTAAATGCGGCTCTGTATTTTAATTTCACCATGTTTCTTTGTGAATGATGCAGATTGTTTGTATCCCACAGATGGTGAGAGTTCTGCTATGTGTGAAATAGTTCACACAAAATCAGAGTCAGAAGGAAGACCAGAGAGGACGTTTCACCTGTGCTGCAGGTGAGGATTTTCGTCTGAAGGAGGCGGAGTTTAGCTTCAGATTTAAGCCTGTCTACTGCTCCTTGCTGCTCTCAACACAATGACAAACTGATAACCCAACCCTTCTTTTTCCTTTATCAGCTCTCCGGAGAGCCGAAAGGAATTTCTGAAGACAGTCCACTCCATCTTGAGAGAAAAGCACCGCCGACAACTCCTAAAGACAGAAAGTTTACCCCTCAACCAGCAGTATGTGCCATTTGGAGGAAAGCGACTCTGTGCCCTGAAGGGAGCCCGTCCAGCCATAAATAGAGCCGGTAAATGCCAGTCGGTGGCTGCATTCACCCTACAGCTTAAAGTGTCCCAATTCCTTCCAAACTGACACAGATAGGATCTTTGGCGGAATCCAGGTTGTTCATTTATATGTTCAACTGTGCGACCAAACAATTTGCAACCAGCTAATGTATTACTTTGCAAAGTTAGCAATACCGCTTTAATCTTCTCAATGTTTTGTCACATTTAAAAAGAAAAAGCTCCAGGGTATTTGTAATATTTATAGACAAAATCCAGTGCAAGAAACTCCATCGCAGGGATTAGAGAACGTCAGTGAACAAACGGCATCATGAAGACCAACAAACCCACCAGACAAGTCAGGGTTAAATTTAAGCAACTTTTAAAAGAGATAGGTTATAAAGTAATACCCCAACTCTAATGTTAATTCAGTATTTGAAAGCGAGAGCAACATGGATTGAACAGCTTTGTTCACTTCCTCCATTGCCAAAATATAACCCTACACACACACAGGCAGACCACAACTCAAATACATCTCAGAAAATCAACATCGTTTCCGATGCCTTCTGTTCACTGATCGGCTTGATTGAAATTCTACCAGAGAAATCAAACTCAATAGGAGAAATTCTAGGAGCACTGAATGAAGATGGGAATTGAGCAGAACTGCACAGCAACATAATGGCCAGGTGGATGTAGAACTAGTATACTTTACAAGACTTGTCTATAAAAATACAGAAGAATTTTATATAAAGCAATGCCTCAATACAAATGCTCAGTGCCATTGACAAAAGTATTTATAATAATTCTTACTTCTACTGAAATTATTATTTTTTTAATTTATCCTAACAGCATCTGCCCCAACCAGGACTCTAGGCAGGAGAAAGCTGGTGCGCAATCGTTTCACCATAGACACCGACATTGTTTTTGATGGGGACTCAGAACAGCAGGACCTCACTTCACCACAGGAATCCGATTCAGCTCCGCTGCAGCAGAAGGATGAGCAGCAGTCTGAGTTAGCGGGAGACACAGACCGCTGGGTGGAGGAGCAGTTTGACCTAGAAGAGTATGAAGACCAGGAAGAAATGAAGGAGACAGACATCCTAAGCGATGATGACGACGAGTTTTGCCAAACACCCAGAGCTCTATCTGAAGAGGCTGATCTGGAGAGCCCCCTGATGGCTTTATCCCTGGAGGGTGCAGAAACAGACGGGAGTAAGAGCCTGCCGTCTCCAACTGTGAGCGACAGACCAGATGAAGAGAAGATATCCGACACAGAGAGGAAGAGCTCCGTAACCGACAACTCCAAGGACAAGAATCAAGCAGTGAAGGCTGAGGTTTGGGTTCGAAGGGAGCCGTCAGATTCATCTCCAGACTGCCCCACATAAGAGCTGAAGGGGACAGGAATCTCCCCATGTTTGCCGCACAACGATCACTCATCACAAACTGTGCATGAGCATTGATGTATATCACACAGCTAGTAAAGAAACAGTACACCCTCCTTTACCTTACTTTATGCTGAATGCTTTTTTGTACAGGTAAGATCATTTGTGGAGCAATAATTAACCCAGAATGAGGGGGCTGTATCCCAAATCAGATGCTGTTTCATAACGGTCAAGTGTTTGCTTAGAGAGGTGAAATAATGGTACAATCATGGGATCTAATCACTTGCTTTGATTGGCATGGTTTGCACATTTGGGCGGCATTCTGTAGTCCTGCCTGCTGTTGCCAAATTTGGGTATTGTGAGAACATTTATATTTGTTTCGTCTCTGTGACTCAAGATATTATCATAGCTAAGGGCTGTATATTATTTGTCCTTAAAGACATAGAATAATAAATTCCAGATGACAGTCTTGCATAGATTACTGTACATTTTCACATGAATATACACTGACGTGTCATGATTTTGATCTTTAGTTTTAGCTCTCTTGTTACATTTAATAACAGAATGATGTGAAAGCCGTAATGTCACTGAAGCAATGGGTTTTTAATTTTTTTTAACCTTATCCTGTTTTTACTTGAATTTGTATTTGCTGTGTCATTTTTTTACTACTGTGAAATCACGTTATATTTTACCAACGGTACTACCTAAAGTACTGCAGCTCAGACACACTGACACATCACATGCACACAATATTGTAGATACTTTACACTTCAGCTTCTTCAGAAGGTTTTCTGTGTTCACTTATTTTTTTAGTAATGGATTTCAAAGCAATTGTTTTATTTATTTGTGTGTAAAATAATTTGCTAGTAACAGAAATCTTTTTTTTTTTCCCCACAAAGAAAGTCCAAAGTTGCTCATGCAATCAAGGTGAAAGACTGGCAAGATGTCTGACCAATGAAAGAAGTCATGATTTAAAAAAAGTTCATTATGCTTCTAGGACTGCATTTTTATTTTGTGTATATATAAAACGTATTGATATCATAATAAATACATTTGTTTCCTACTTCTAATTCAGAACTGTTGTGTTTTAATTTATTTGCTTTCATTTTTAAACAGCTTATTAAGTTTTCTCTGGAGTGCACCACCAAATATGCCCCAAATTTCTTCATTTTGGGTGACCGGCCAATAGATGCATTTGAAACTGATCACATCTACCTCCATAAAGATCTGAAAATCAGAGTCTTCAGTCCTGTCCCGTCTACCCACCAGCCCACGTCTGAACTTGAGCTAACAGTCACTCCGCTGTTGCCAATTTACCAACTTCTCAGATAAATAATTAAAAAAAAGAAAAGAAATTGGTATCTGCCTCAGTGGAAAATCAGCATGTCAGACTTTTGAAGATCAGCAATCAGCAGGGGGCATGCCCAAGGTACAATTCCTGCAAGAACCACCACTGTTTTCTAAAATGAATCCTTAACTGCATGCAACAAAGCATTTGTACACAACTGCACAACAGAAGAGGAAAAACTGTAATGCCAAAGTCATATCAGTACTACATAAAATTAAACATCTTTAATCAATCCCTACATTTTGATAACGATCATTTTACGAGAAAACCAGCATCAAGAAAAGGCTGTGCATTATCAGCAGAAGTAGACCCAAGACTGAAAAGGATATGAAGGTGAGTTGCAAAAGGATTCTTGGTTTCTTAATCCAGTTTAATGAAAAAATTATACTCCCCCATAAAATATGAAATAATTGTGCAACATAACACATTTGCTTTGAAATCATTCTGAATATCAATGTTAAAGTATTAATGATTTTTTATTTGATATTATTACCATATTGTGTTGATATTCTAGCACTGTAAGTACAGTTAGACCATTTTACAGTGTTAAAATTTTTATGAAAATTAATACGAAAATAATTCATCTAGCTGGCAATAAATTTTATCAGAAAAAAAATTATCAATTCTTTTACAATGTTACTCCAACATTATAAATCTATTAAAGTAGATACTAAACTAGACCATAATACAGTACAGTATTTACTATAAACCAACTGTGATAAGCAAAAAAGAGGAGTCGTTCTAATACAAGTATGCTTTAAAGACAACTCAAAAGAGGAGTGAAGTGGATGATTTTTCCTCCCAGTGTAAGCTCATGCGGACAAGTATAAACCAGGAACTAACACTATTGGGTGTTTCTCTTTTGTTACACATGACTACAAAGTCAGAACTAGGAACTAGAATCTGGGAATGAGGTCAAACAGCCTTGTTCAAAGTGAAACTGTATGCATTGAATTTGAAAAAAAAAACAACAAAAAAAACATGTTTCTTAGCATTTTAAGTATAGAAGGAACATGTTTGTAGGTTGTATAGCATGTGTGTGAGAAATACAAACCATAAAACTCAGTTTTCTACAGGAGTTAGTAGCTATCATTACTTTTGGGATTTTAGAATGGGGCTGGATTTTGTCATTTCAATCTGATTATCAAAAATATGTTTTAGATCATTTTCTAAAAAAAAAACAAAAAAACTTTTGCATATACATACCAAATAAATGTACTTAGTCTATTTGTGTGGCAAAACAGATGCAGATCAAAAACATTGTGTAAGATTTGTTACTGGGTGGTCAATGAGCAACAGTGGTAATATAGAAGTTTAATAGTACTTCAGTACTAAAATATTAGCAAATTTTTGTTCAAAATAACTTTATGCCATTTCTTATTTTCTTGTTCCATTTTTATTATAATATGTTAATGTTTTTCTTTTTGTTTTTAGTCCTTTATACGGTAATGTAATAGCAAACAAACACTATTATTTTGTTATTTTAAGGAAAGGTTCAATAAGAAAATGTCAGGGAGAAATTTATGACAGATTTTTGAAGACAGCTTTACGAGAAACTTCAAACCTTCACAATTAAATTCTTATCTTAAGACGGGTTTACAAAACATTTTCTTTTCTTTTTTTGTCATTATAAAATACACAACCCACTAAAAGGTTCAAGTCCCGTAAACTATTAATTCAAAATGTGTTTGTGCATATTTGTACTTGGAAAACTTGGCCTTTCATCAACGTAAACACTGACTGATCTGCAGTCATATTTGCATACAGCAGAGGGCGCATTGAGCCTGCTATAATTTTGTTGTTTTCATCCTCTGAACCTCGAACAAAGGGTAACAACATACTGCTCACTCATTCATATTAATTTATTTTTGGTTAAAATCAGTTATTTTCTTCCTATCAAATCAGGATTGAAATTAGAATTCACATATTAAACTTTTAGCAATAACAGAGTTTCCATAACACAGCCTGCCTTTTCATATCCAACTTTGTCTCCTTGGGTTTTTCATCATGATGCTATCTGTTTACATTCAAAGCAGCTGACGACAGTATTGCCCTAAGAACCTGTTCAGCAGGTTTTCCAGTTTCTGTTCCTGTCTTATAACCTCTCATGCCACATTTTTTTTCCCCCTCTGGTACTCTTTCGTGTCTCTTACTTTTCTCAGAAACACGATGATCGACTGGGTGTCACCTTTTATAGACCATAAAAGGTTTGGAGGAAGGAGTGGTTCATCTTCACCACCCTGAAATAAACTGTTTTAAAACAGTGTCTCTTAAAGTTAAAGCAAACTAAAACTCTTGTTTAAATATGCTGTTTGTGTTGTCAAGCAATGAAATACAAATACAGAAGTCTGAATGGTCACAACACCTTAGAGTATTGTGCTAAATATTTAATATGGGTACTGTAGATACAATTAGTGGTAGTCCAAGTTTCCCAGTTTGAGAAAAATCTTGAACAATTACTCCCCCGAGATTAGCAGAAGGAAAGTATATTCACACTTTAAGTCAAAGTCATTCAGAAAGTTGCTTCCGTGTGAGTTAACACTGAAAACTGACCTGCTGATCCAGTTGGACCTACAGATGCACTCATCAGTATGAATGCTCTATTCATTTTTGACTTTTAGTAATTTGGTTCTGCGGTTTAAAAGCCTCACGATGGAACTGATCATGGACAGTAATAAATCTGCATAGAAGCAGGATGTGGATCCTCAAACAGAAACACTGTAAGCAGGACTATAATTCTTGCTGCAACTAAAGTTTCTGGCTGGTTATCTTTCACCCTTACAGTCAAATATCCTGCCAAAAAATATCCTAAAAGCTTGCAGATTTTTTTTTTTTTCAAATTGCTTGAGAACATTTGTCCAAGTATTAGGTCTATGTTCAAACAGACAAATACGATGCAAGTCAGATTATTTGGTCCATATGCGACCGACAGACAACTTTTTCATGGCAGTCTGAACGACTTAATTCCGATCTTTTCACCTCCAATTTATACCTGATCTGCGCCACTTCCATAGGTTATAGAAAATTGGATAAGTATCTGATTGTCTTAAAAGCGTTTGCAGTCAGAACGTTCATATCGCATTTTATCTGACTTTTCTATCATTGATGTAAAACATGCATTGTAATTCTGCACCAGCAGAAGCCAGACACTAAATATGGATGTAAACAATGGATGAAAGTTATAATTATGAACATATGAAAGAAGGATGTCACTGAAGTGAATCACATCATAATCCCACAACTTCTGGCTCTGTGTACACAAACAAACAGACCTTCCTACAGACAGTTCAGTTAATGCTCAACAAAAAGTGGTTTATTGTGCTTTATTTTTATTAGCTTCCTTTGTGTTGTTACACTCTAACAATCTTGTGACAATACTGTCAGTTCCCTTTGCTGAATAACTTTAAAAACGATCCATAAATGGCTCCATCTATTATTACTCCAATAAACAGTGGACTGCTGTGTGACATCAACGTTCTTCTTCTGTGTATGCAGAAGAAGAAAGGTCGTAAATCATTCACAAACACAAGTCTGATTGTGATTAGCATTGATTCTAAGGTGAATATATGTATGTGTGTAGTAGCAGCTTTGTTTTTTGTTTTTTTTAATATACTTCTATATCTTGTAAAAAAAAAGTCACAATTTTTATGTTTACAATGCATTTCTTACACTGCCTGAACTGTTTTTGGAGTTGGCTCTTTTTGCCCTGTCTGTTTTACAAGGCTCTAAATCTGATAGTGTCACAGTGCATGTGGTGTCACCCTGTTGGTCATCGTCATTGTCACTATAACTATAGTGACAATGAAATTAGTTCATTCATCCTTTCATTTAGCAGTATGAATGGCCACACACACACACACACACACACACACACACGCACACACACGCACACACACGCACACACCCACACACAAACACAAAAGATATTTCAGCAGACCAGTCAGAATTGAGCATCAAATCTACCTTTGTGAATTTAGTCTTAGTAAGTGTATTTTTAAATCTAGGCCTTTATGTTTAATTTTAACACTGCATAGATTGAGGAAATAAAAACAATTTTCAGTTTTAGTAATTTGAGTTACAGCAGTTCATTTAAAACAGGATTTCTTTGCGAAGCACCTGATTTTTAACATTCAATGTTGTTTGAACGGTAAACTAGCTGGGGAAGGAACAGCTAGTGTAGTGACTAAATCTAAAGTTGTAGATTTAGTCACTACTGAACACCTGGGCAACCATGTTGACCTGGCAGGTGATCCATTGTCTTGTATCACATGTACATTGTTCGTGTTATGCATGACAAGGAGTCTTGACTTTTTGTTTTTTTTAAGAGACAGACAAACGTAGTCAAGTTTCCCTTTACTGAAACCACTTGTTATTTTAAAGTTGAGATCATTCCAACCAGCTGGGTGACATCGCATGCATTGTGACACTATCAGATTTAGAGCCTTGTAAAGCAGACAGGCTAGGTAGTACCTGCATTAGACAAGAAAGACAAGACGAGGACGTACATCTTATGCTAAACCATGAAACAGAAGCTGGAAATCTTAGCCCTGGTCCTGGGCTTCTTTGGCCTATTTGGGACAATAGCTGTTACAGCTCTGCCTACCTGGAAGGTCTCTGCCTTCATTGGGGCTAATCTTATAGTCATGGAGGAACTGTGGGAAGGCCTGTGGATGGCCTGCTACAGACAGATTAACGTCAAGATGCAGTGCAAGGTCTACGACTCACTATTGATTCTCCCAGCCGAGCTGCAGGCGGCCAGAGGATTCATGTGTGTCTCCATCGCCCTGGTTGTCAGTGCCTTGATTGTCACAGCTTTTGGAATCCAGAGGAGCAACTGTTGTGGTGACAACATGAAGAGCAAAAACATCGTCCTGGCTGTCGGGGGATGTTTGTATCTGATTTCCTTTCTGACCACACTCATTCCTGTCAGCTGGGTGAGTGACTCGATTATCAGGCAGTTCTACAATCCAACTGTGCTGGACGCTCAGAAACGAGAGATTGGACAAGCCATCTTCATTGGCTGGGGAACTTCTGGTGTGTTACTGGTCACTGGAATCATCCTGCTCGTCAGACACAGCAAACGAAGATCCAAAGAAGAAGACGTCTACCATGATGCATACAATATGGAGGAAAAGAGTGCCATCAAAGAGGACAGTGTATATCTCCCCCAGACAGGATCCGGCTTGCATAAATTTCAAGAATATGTGTAAATAATTGTTAATCTTTGCTTTCTGCTGAATGTATTTATTTGCATTTAAAATTTACAACATGTAACCTAAAAAAAACTTCACAAGCTGATGTGCACGTGCCTGTCAAAATTAAGGGCTTTAGTGACTCATAGGTGTGGCTACTTTACTACAAACAGTACTGGTATCAAATGTTCTTTACCATTCAACCAATTTTGTACATAAAAAGTATTCATTTATAAAGAGTATTTTTTTTTTACTTTTATTTTTAACAAATGCCCTGCATGTCCTTGATGTTTTTGTGCTCCAATAAAATAATTGTGGTTAACTGCTCTTGATGAATTTGCTTTTCCATCTCAACATGGGTCACTGTACATTAAAACAATGTTTGTGAGTCAGTCAGCAGTCATTTAACCAACTTAGTTGACTGCACTGGATTAGAGTTGTCAGTCTGAAGCATTATATTAATAATGTTTTTAAAATTTGCTATTAATCAAAACAAACAATTTTCCCCAAAGACAGGCCATTTGTATTTTAAAATAAATTATTTTAAATAATTTAACCATTAAAATAACAATAATAAACTTACTATTTATGTATCTACAAATAAAAAGCCAGAGTATTCAGAGGGAAAATGTCTGAATTCAGAAATAAAACAAAATAGGCCTCAGTTTAATCCTAATTACACCAAAGGATATATTCTATTATCTGATATAGCTTACTAAAATTTGAATTTAACTGTGTACTAAATGGTATTTGTAAGTGTTTCTTTTCTAAAAATGTGTAAGTTATATATTAATGTTATGTAAACAAATACATGTGATTAAAAGAGGATGAAGTAAAGGTGATTGCATTTGAATAACATTGAAGCAGTCAAACATGTGTCTAATTGTTTCCATACATATGTAGGTAAAAACGCAGCAGACCGAACATGTCTAACCTCAGAGAGCAGTCACCATTTATTATTTACAATATTCTTTTTTTTTATTCTTTCTTTATATATTCTTTTTTTTTAAATGAGGCATTAGATGCAACTTTCCTGGCATATCAGTAGCTGCTCATCAGGTAGATTATTTTATGGATAAATTATAAATGTTAAAAGATATTTCTCATGCCATCACAAATAAAAGAGAATCTTTTGAGACAAAATTTAAAGATTATTAGCTGAAACTGAAATTGAGGGTATTCCTTAATTACTCATTTGTTAGGAGAAATTGCATTTTAAGATGCCTACAGTTACAGCAGTACAAGTCAAATACTTTAGGTATTAAGAAATCCCTAAAAAAAACTAATCTATTTATCCAGATTGGATTATTGACGTACAATGTAACTGGTAGACATGGAGTTGTATCACTGATTCACACTTCAAAGCTGAGTGTATAATGAACACACTTATTGTTTGTTCATATTTATCAGGGTCCTCTCTTGGGCTCCAAACTTACTAACCACCACTGCTTCATACAAAGTTGATTAGCCACAACCCGATTAGAGTTTTATAAAATTATGTGACAAGTTGAGTTCAGTTCTTGACAGTGGTTGCACCCATCAGGGCTCCAGTTCCAAAGCCAACATGGCATTGTTTAAACAGCTTCTTTAATGTCAAATAAGCTGAGGTTAAAAAGTTCTGAGAAGTCAAAGTGGTCTAATAAAAAAGAACCATTTCAAGGTCGGTAACAATAAAATTTATCTTTTTGCACCAGGAAATTATGAATTTGAAGCTATCACAATAAATATATCAGTAACACGTCAATGTGTTAGCAAAGAGTTGAGAAATTCTGGCAAGTGAAACCAATCCTCCTCATGTTTCTGCATCCGACACCTTCTTACCAGCTCACTGTACATAGAAAATGTAGACGCTTTGGGATCTGTGACCAGCTTTAGTCATCCCTATAAAAAACATCCCTATAAGACAGTGCATTTATACAAATAAGTTTGTTTTGTTTGCTTTGAAAATTGATACGTATCCAAAACTAAATATAATCATGATTCATGTATATTTGAACTCTTTCCCAATCCTGTGTAAATTACATATTTTTATGTTCTTTCTCCAGCTAATATTTCAAACAGAAATTGATTATATTCAACTTATCAAATGATTGCACTTTTTATATAACAAAAAAACAAAGAAAAAAACACTAAACAGTTGACTGAAAGTCAGAGCAGTTTCATTTGCAATTGAACAAGGAGTACTCCTTTGTTGTCACCAGCCTAATGGGTGCAGGGCAGATGAACCGGTCAGGCTGCATTGCATCATTTGCATGTTTTTGTGGGTGTATATGTTGTGTTCATCATTCTTTCCTTCAGACTTGCCTCCGGAGCTGTAAGAGTAAAGCCAGAGACAGCATCTTTGGCTTTTGGTGCTTTCTGCAATGGCCTCTTACACAGCCTACAGTGGCTATACCAAGCCACCAATGTCCTATGCTGGGTCTTACTATGACCCAAATTTGCAGAAGCTACCCCAGGCCTACACAGATTACCAAAATAACCCAGATTACCAGGACTCCGTTTACGAGGAAAAGAAAAAAGCTGAGAAGAGGAAACGCCGTAACGAAGTCTGCTGTGAGATTGTGGCTCTCGTCATTGGTTTTCTTGGACTGATAGGAGTAGCAGCGGTGACTGGCTTGCCCATGTGGAAAGTAACAGCCTTCATTGAGGAAAACATCATTGTGATGGAAACTCGCTGGGAAGGTTTGTGGATGAACTGCTACAGACAAGCCAACATAAGGATGCAGTGCAAGGTGTACGATTCCCTGCTGTTCCTACCACCAGATCTCCAAGCAGCCAGAGGCCTCATGTGCTGCGCTGTGGCTCTCACATGCTTCGCCCTGGTTGTTTCAGTGGTGGGAATGAAATGTACCAAGATGGTGGACCACCGTGCTCGAACAAAACACATTGTCCTTGTGACTGGAGGCTGTCTCTTCCTCGTGGCCTGTGTCACTACCCTGATCCCAGTGTCCTGGACTGGCCATGTCATCATTCAGGACTTCTACAACCCACTGCTGATTGATGCCCAACGAAGAGAGCTTGGGGAGGCTCTGTACATCGGCTGGATGACGTCTGGTTTGCTTTTCTCAGCTGGAGTGATCCTGCTGTGCCGCCATGCTCCACACACCAATATAGAAGAGGAGAGGGTCATATACAACCCTGGAAGTATCTATCAACCTGCATACGCATACCAGCCGTACTCATACCAACCAGAATACAACTACCAACCTGCATACTCTGCACCCCCACCAAGATCTGTGGGATATGCTCTGAGTCAGTACTAGGTGATTTTCGGACTTGATTTTTAAACCAGAAAAACATGGTTAAAATGAAAAGGATGATGGAGTGACAAAGACAGGGGATAACTAGACAAGGCCCATTTATTACTTTAAAAAGTCTATTGCTAAGACTGAAATGTTTTATGAATGTGATTGAGTTTGATCATGAAGACCTTTGCCGAAATGATTGTCTTTGTTTTACTGTGGGTGTTTTACATCCTTCATAATGATAAAGCAGGGATGTGATAACAATGTCTATAGAATCTGCACCCATGCTCATTTGAGTTAAAATTATGCACTAGCTTTTTTTTCATACCTGTAGGTAACTTCTGTTTACTTGTGAGATTGTGTGTATATATATATATATATATATATATATTCTTTTTCAAAACCGATAGTAAGAAATTATATCAGCTGTTATACAAAATAAAAAATGGTAATAAAAGTTGTTTGTTTTCATCAGTTTTATTTATTTAATCCTACAATCATTTCTCCAAAAGCTTTTGTTTGTCTGGGAATCTAGATATTCCTGCCGAAACTCCGGTTGTTTCACTTACGGGTGTGTCATCTTAATCATTGCCAGGAGAAATGTGCCCAAACCAGCCCAACAAGCACATCTAAAAACAGCACAGGCACTGAAAGATTACGTCTCAACAACTTAAAAGGTGCAACTTCCAGATTTTAGCTACAGACTTACATGACAGACAAGAAGAAATTGTCAATACAATTCAGAAAGAACACATTGTGTCAACTTAAAAATACATGATTAAGCAATTATGCAAACATATTAAAATCTATTTAATTATGTCTACAAAAGCCTTTAAGTGTGAAATCTGAGATTTTTGTTGTCATATTACACAATATCATCATGATGTATAGACTTTTACGAAAACAGGTTAATGTATGAATGTAATAAATAAAAATAATAATCTCCCAAATAATTAAAAATAATAATAATAGGTGTAAAATACAATTTAACAAGCAATTTAAAAAGCAGCAAAAAATAGCTAAATGTTATATAAAATACAATATTAATTGAAAAACACTTAAAAGTCTAGTAAGACATAGCTTAACATAACAAAAATGTTATAGGCTACACAATCATGGGGGACTGTTGTCTTGACAGATATTCAGACAGTCACCAACATCCCACGGTTTTTAATTTTTTTATATATACATTTTTAAGATTATTTAAAGAACTAGTGGATTTTATTAGATAGCAAGAGTTTGGGGTAGATTTATAGGTTGTCAAAGTGAGGGAGATTGACCCTTACTCCCATGGGAAACTAAAACAAAGAATGATTGAAATTGGACTTTTTGAATACAATGTTTCATGTGATTCTCAGAAATGCCATTATGATTAACAAGGAATGACAGGGCTTGTAGAAGCAGCCCAGATGTATTGATGATTTTAAAGATAAATAATTCTGTGATCACTATAAATGCAATGATAATCATAAGTAAGTATGCAATCTGTTTGAGGTCAAGGGAAGTGAGGAACTGAGAGGAGACATGTGTTGGCCAATGTGGAACAAAGAGCGCAGAGACAGAGGCAAGAGAGAAACCGAGAATAAGTGCTGATCGGTAGACGCAGGCTAAAAGAAAGAACTGAAACAGATGAGCGAGGGGAAAGACAAAGTGCTGAGAAAGTGGCTGGTGAACCACCCTGGATTAAAGCGTCTTGGCAGGAATGAGAGTTCAATCTAAAGCAGGCGTAGTGGCTAATATGGGCAGGTTGAAGATGAAGTTTGCATCTCTCCTTTTTCTGAGATCGGCGAGAGGATGTGCGGCAGCAGCAAGAAGAACCCCATAAAGTCTACCACAGAGGAACATCGGGATTTCCTTACAAGCCTTCATCATGCTCACATTAAGACGGACTAATGGCCCTGCAACACAGCACAAAGTGAATCTATGACCTGCAGTCAGCCAAATGCTGTTTTGCATATGAAGAATCAACCTCAATTTTGATAGACTCTGACTTGGGCCTCTATTGTTGGCTAAGGCAATAGAGGCCCAAGGCAAATAACGAAGGCAAAAGCAAATACTCTTTTCTTCAGCAAGGACTTCTATCATTATCTAGTAAATAGGGGTCACAGATAATCATCTCTGAGGACTGCTGCTTGCTCTCTGTTGCCTGGTCCTCCTGCCTGAGCTCATTTCTCCAATAGACCGGCAATGGGGTTTGAAGTCCATGATGCATTTCTAGTTTGCTGCTGGGCTTCTCAGCCCGACTAATTCATGGGGAGGAAAGCAGAGTGGGACACTCAGAATTAGGTCATTAGAAACCAGGAGAGTCTTCCTTGACAGGTCAGTTTAAGTAGAGTTTTTCTCAGTCCTGAACAGTTTAATATTCAGCATGCTTAGGAAACTCATATTACCCGTCAGATGGAGAGCTGGTAGTGTGTTGCTCCTTCGTAGTAGGAGGAGTAGAGGGGAGGGGGCATTCATGTGCAGCAATAAGGTTTGGTCAGGATGCAGTGTGGGTAGGATCGGTGCTTTTAAAGCCACCACATATAAGCTAACTCAAAAGAGTTCAAAACTGCTCTGTTTCTCCAGAAATAAGGTCAGAAGCATTTTACCTGGCTAAATGAGAGAAAAAGAAAACAAGGGCCAAAGCATTTTACCTGGACCACTTGTCAGCAGTTCAAACTAAAGTTATTTTTTTTTGTTTTGATGATAGTTTTTTTTTATTATTCATTTTGGAAGTCAAATTTACTGATAAAACCTGCTGAAAACAGCAGATAAAATGCTATTATGAAAAAATTATTGACTTGCATAAAAGTCTTTTTCCCTCAATACTTTCTTGTAAAAGAGATATCCTAGAATGTAAATGGATACCTCTAAATAATCAAAGTAGCAGCGTACTTGTGTTGGTGTACAGAGGTTCAAAACACACAAAGGACTCCGTCTCCTAGCTACAGGTACAAATTCCCACCCCTTCCCATTATAACACCCAGTGGGAAGAGGTTGTACAAGGGAACAACCACCTGCTCCTCCTCCATCTGACTGAACTGCCTCTCAACAGAAAAAAAATACTGCTCTGAGCTGTATCCAAATAGTGTCCAACTGCCATTGTGCCTCTAAACTTGGATCAGTGACTAGAGACAGGATGGCCAACTCAACATTGGAAATAGTGGGACTTTTATTGTCCCTGATTGGTCTGATTGGAGCAGCTGCAAGCACCGGAATGCCAATGTGGCGGGTCACAGCCTTCATTGGGGAGAATATCATCGTGTTTGAGACTCGCTACGAGGGTTTGTGGATGAACTGCTATCGCCAAGCTAACATACGGATGCAGTGTAAAGTCTACGACTCTCTGCTGGCTCTTCCCCAAGACCTGCAGGCTGCAAGAGGGTTAATGTGTTGCTCTCTGGCTCTGGGTGCCATTGGTCTGCTGATCAGTTTGGTCGGGATGCAGTGCACAGCGTGCATCAGGAACAACGATCGAGCCAAGAGATTGGTCCTCATCATTGCAGGAACCATGATTTTAATGGCTTGCATTTGTGACCTTATTCCTGTGTCCTGGACAGGCCACGTCATCATTCAGGACTTCTACAACCCGTTGCTGATCGATGCCCAGCGCAGGGAGCTCGGAGAAGCTCTCTATATTGGTTGGGTGGCAGGTGCTTTCTTGTTTGCTGGAGGGTGCATTTTCATCTGCTGTAATATACAGTCTGAAGACGAAAAACCAGAGAAGTACACGTACTTAAAAACCTCAGGGTACAGGCCCTACACCCCACAGCCACCACTCCAGCCTCTGCCTCAGCAGCTGGTGTTTATCCCTCGATCCGAACCTCACTCAATGCTGTCAAGACATCAGTCAACCATCTACAGTTCTGAATCTAGTTACCCCTCTGTCCACAGTGGAGTTGCTTATCTGTGAACCCTTAAAATATCTATTTTTTTTTTTTTCCTGGCATGGTGGTACAAGGTAAAAACACTTAATTTAAATTCTTAATTAGAGGTGAAATCTCAATACATTTTATGTACTCATTTAACTGTATTTTTTTTGTAAAAAACAAACAAAAAAACTGTTTAGAATAGGTTAGAAGCTTGCAAGAGATAACCACTCATGTTTATGTATAATTAATTGTTTGTCCAAGTGAAATGTTATACTTGTATTGTCAAAATGGAACAAAATATTGAAAATCTGTATGTTGTGTATATCTATTATGCAATCTTCAACCATTTGGTAATGTAACAGAAGTGTATGTGTGTTCATTGGTGAAATGTATTTTATTGCTGGCATATGATCCATGCAGTTTAAGTGACAAAAACACATTTTAAATTGTGTTTTACGAGCCAAAACTTCACCAGAATTACAAACCTCAATAAGGCCTTTGTTTTCCCCAAACTTCTGGTACCAGTTTCACCCAGTGTTATTTACACATTCAAACAATGGCAGGTGTGCCATAATGACTTATAAAGTACAAGTTAAAACAGTGACTGATTATGTTACACTGAATCTAATAGCTATATAAAAAAATCAATTCAAGTCTATTTAATCTGAATATTGACTAAAGATGGGCATTCTGTAATGCTTTCCTGGGAGCTACTGAATAGGAAGCACAAGCATGAGATTCTCAGATAACACTTCTCACTAAGGGCGTGGACGCAAGGGGAACTCAACCAAGCCAAGTAAACAGAGAACAGGATCATGTGACCAGAATATGCAAGTCACTTTGAATTTAGACCAACACATCCCTGTTATTTTGTTCGTTGAGCTTCAAGTTTAGAATTTTTTTTTTTTTTTCTGCAAAGTGTATAAATGATCAAGTTAAGCTAAAAGGTCACGGCATTTCAATTTCTAGAAGAAGCACAACTTCTTTCTGAAACCTTAAATACAATGAAATGTTGATACTTGCATATGTGTTCTTCCATTTCAAACAAATACAATTTCAAATGTAATAGTATATGACTGGTCTTAATATTTCAGAAAATACATGTTTTTTCATATAACGTGAACTTCTTATTTCTTCACCTCAAAGCTCAACTCTGCTCTCCGGTGCACAAAGCAGAAAGCTTTCACAGTTGTTCATTTTACAGTATACTGATTTTTGTTTGTTTTATATGACATTGATCACATTTAAATAAAAAATCTGACATTGTTAAATGTTGGAGTTGTGTATTATTTTTACTCAGAAGTTATGTTTGAGAAAAATGATCAGTGTCCTGCCCACATGAACTGCTTACCTGTAAACACAAAATAAGAACATATCATCTTTACCTGCATCTCTCCAAACCAATCAGGTGATGTTTCCCATAACAAACAGCCTCTTTCAGCAAACGGTTAGGACAAAGCCTCGCTGCCTGGACATACCTTCACCTTAAACTAATTTTTTCTTCAAAGATCCTGATAAAGATCGACAGTACCCATTTTTCTCTTTTTCTGCCTACAAGATCATAAAACGTTTTGGACTTACACATAGGAGTTCTGAATAAAAAAAACAATGATTCGAGGCATCTCTGAGATCGCAGCGATGTGTGTTGGAGTGATTGGGCTGATCGGCGCCTCTGCTACGACTGGCTTGCCTATGTGGAAGGTCACCGCTTTCATTGGAGCAAACATCATTGTGATGGAGACGCGCTGGGAGGGCCTGTGGATGAACTGCTACCGACAGGCAAACATCAGGATGCAGTGTAAGGTGTACGACTCCTTGTTGTATCTGCCCCCTGACCTGCAAGCTGCCAGGGGTCTGATGTGCTGTTCTGTGGCCTTGTCAGGGGTAGGGCTCTTGGTAGCTCTAGCAGGGATGAAATGCATTTCCTGTTTTCAAGGTAGCAAATGGGCTAAAACAATTATTCTAATGGTTGCTGGAGCAATGCAGTTCCTGGCCTGCATTTGTGTTTTTATACCCGTGTCTTGGACTGGTCATGTCATTATAAGTGATTTTTACAATCCACTGTTGATTGATGCCGAGAGGAGGGAGCTGGGAGAAGCTCTTTACATTGGTTGGGTGACGGGAGCCTCACTTTTTGCCTCAGCTTTACTGTTTATCTGTAGACGGATACCCTCAGAAAAAGGGTCATTTGACGTATATCCCCCACTTAAACTGCTGAATTACAGGACAGAAGCGAACAGTCCTGCAATGACAAGATATCACCCCGTCTCCAGCATTCCAAGTGTCCAGTCAAATGCACATCAAAGTTCTCTTGGGAGCAACAGCTTGGTTGGGCAACAAAACTTATTTCCTCCACAAAATGTCCCTCAAGTAATAACAAGCAATGGAGCCCTGATGAACCCAACTATTGTCTACGCTCCTGGTCCTCCTGAAAATGCATCAATCCTCTATCAAAGAAGCATGGCTCATCAATCTTCAGTGCGGAGCTCTCACCACCCTGGAAGCATATACACTCCAGGAAACTCTTCATATGTGACCCAAACCCCCACTCTGTATACAACTTACACCGGCAATACACCTTCATCTTTCCAGTCAAGCTTTCATCCTGTTCCTCAAACTCCTGTTTTCATAGCCTATAAGGAATCCATGGTTCACCCAGAGTCTCGCAGCCTCAGCCACAATGGAGTGTACATATAAAGTAAAGTTCATATGTAAACTTATGTAAACTTGTATGTAAAAGTAAAGTTCATGAAAAAGAAATTTTCCTGAGCTATAAACCACTTAAGATCACATCACTCTGATATGGGTTTATTTCTTCAATGTATCAAATCTGCTCTTGGGAACATAAGTCTATTGTATTGTGCTTTTTTTGCTTTTTCACATTTTTTGATTGTTTTGGTTTATTTTATGTAGTAAATTTGTAGTAAGAGTAAAATGAATTTATACTTATTACTGTAATTCGTTTTGCCATAACTTTAAGAATACAGCCTGATCAATACTTATTTTTAGAAATTATTTCACATTTTTATGAGATTTAGGATCAATGTAAAAACAATCATTTTGTGATTTTATATATATATATATATATATATATATATATATATATATATATATATATATAATTTTGTACTGTTTATTAAAAGGATATCCCGATATATAAATGCTTCACTTCTTTTTTACAGATTGGCCGGAGGCCCAAAATATAAATAAAAATCTAATGGTGACAAGTAAATATTGAAACACACAAATAATTATGTAAAACAAATGAAAAACATAAATTATGTTAGTATTTTGTGTCTACAATATCACAAAATATTGGTGGTGTCTTTCATTTTGAATGTCAGAAAATGCCAGAAACTCCAATCCTATTTGACATACTATGAACCTCTTATTTCATAAACTCAAAGCTCTTCTCTGCTCCCCAGTGGACAAAACAGGAAAGTGAGTCGTGTTTAAGGAAGTCTGTGTGCTAATCTTTCTTTGTTTTGTATCACACATAATTACAGAAAAAAAAACAGACTTTCTTAAGTCATTCCTATGGCTGTCATTTTTTTTTTACTTTGTATTATTATTATTATTATTATTTATTTCTACTGCTGAAGAAACTAACATTCAAGTGCTATTCCCTCATGAACTGCAAAACTGTAAACACAACATAAGCACATATCGTCTTTGCCTGCATTGTCAGAACACCATTGGAAGCTGGTTTAATTGCTGTAATGCCATCAAATAGTTTTCCACTGATTTAAATTATTTTCTTTCAAAATTGATACTAAATTGAATGACATATAAATGCATGCCACATTTTTGACAGGGTCAGCTAAAATCCATCATAATTTCCACCATAGTAGGCAGTGCCAAGTCACACTAAGGGGAACAGCTAAGTGTGGGGAGGAGTAGTGGATACACCTACCTAAATAAAAATAATTATTGTTTATTACATGTAAAGTTCTCTTAGTGAACTGCACAAGTTTAGAGGAGAAGATTTTCAACTTTTGTTACTGTTTCAATAGCAGGTGGAAATTGAATGGCACTCCACTGAACTGAAGAGGTCAAGCCCCAATGTTCAAACTGTAATTTTCCTCCAATTAACTAGAGCAAACAGTCATACCTGAGGCTAATGTTTTGTCAACAGTAAAATTTGTTCAAAAAGCATTACAAATTGATGTAAAATTAAAACTTATGGCTAACAGAGTGCCTTCTATAAAACATGTAAATACAAAAAGAGCTCCTGAGGTTATGGATGGTTTTTGCTGGTGTTTCATAAACACAGAACATACAGGCATTGTATTTACCCAAAAATCCCTGAACCAATCAGGGGGTTGCACAGCATCTACCCATAACAAGCAGGCTGTTACACCAAACAAGCTTGTGGAAAAGATTCACATTGCACTAGACATGTCTTCACCTCAACAAGGCACGTTCTTTAGCTCTCAAATGTTGTGCTAAGTAGTACGGAAATATTAGCTGTAAATGTGAGCCCGGGACTCTTGGATACTAAACAATGACTCAAGGTTTGTCTGAGATCGCTGCAATCTGCACTGGCCTCATTGGACTGATTGGTGCGTCTGCTACAACTGGCTTGCCAATGTGGAAGGTCACAATTACCAGAGGAGAAAACAAAACTGAGATGGCGAGACGCTGGGAGGGATTGTGGATGAACTGCTACAATCAGGCAAACATCAGGATGCAGTGTAAGGTGTATTACTCCTTGTTGCATTTGTCCCCTGATCTGCAAGCTGGAAGAGGCCTGATGTGCTCCTCAGTAACCTTGTCAGGGTTAGGGCTATTGTTCGCTCTAGCAGGAATGAAATGCATTCCTTGGTTTCAGGATATCAAATGGGTTAAAACTATGATCCTAATGGTTGCTGGAGGAATACAGTTCATGGCCTGCATCTGTATTTTTATACCTGTATCATGGACTGGTCAAGTCATCTTAAGGGATTTGTATGATCCACCACTGACTGATACCCAAAAAAGAGAAATGGGAGGAGCCCTCTACATCGGTTGGGTTGCTGGAACTTTCCTCTTTGCCTCAGCCTTGCTTTTTACCTGCCGATGTTTCCCAACAGACAACAAACCAACTATGACAAGCTATCACCCCGTCTCAACCCTCAAGTCAACTAGGAATTCTCACAACAGCAAAACTTTAGATCTACAACATCCTATACCACTCCACAATGTTGCTCCAGAAATGACAAACAGTGAAGCGCTGGTGAACCAGCCGACATCCTCTATCCAGGCTGGAAGCATTCATATTCCCGGGAACTCACTGTATGTTACCGCAAACATCAAACCATTCAATGGGTTGTGTGACCCAGTTGCATTTAACTGCTACTATTAAGTGAAGCCAGTATGTTTCCGTTTTATGAATTTTGACAGGGAAAAATATGCACATGATCTGAACATAGGTCAAGATGATTTAATGTGGGTTGATTTATCCATTTATCCAGTTATAGATAACATATGATTTTATGGCATTCCTTTGCTTTTAGCAATTGTATTTATGATCTGATAGCCTTACAAAACTATTCTGTTGTTTATTTACCGTTTCTGAATCTTTATGAAACACTGCTGTATAGATTTCAGTTTCCTTCATAAGCAAACATGATCTATGATGTAATTTAATGTGTATAGAACTAATAAGTGCATACACAAACTGTGAATTTATGGTTATAATATGAACAGACATTTGACCCAATCAAATTTATTGGAAAAAATAAATCATCTTTCAGGAACATCAGTGCCTCAGACTCTGAATATAAAATAGACACCAGATATATGCATTCATTGTATAAAAATAACATCACTGTTTTAATTAATTACGTTAAACTTTTTCTGTTTTATGCCAGGGTCACTAAAATAAATCAATGCCAGAATAAAGAAACAATACTTTAGATTTAGACAATTTCTTTTGTCTTTCTTTAGATTCAGAAGATTATGCACAATTCATTAGTAGTTGCTGGAATTGTCTTTAGTAGTTGTTGGAATTGCAGTATCTTTCAAAAAGTTTCTCACAATAGTTTGCCTGAACTGATGTAACTCAGTCATCACACTTCTCTGGGTTGTGCGGTATTTTATTAAATACCAAATTTAGACGGCAGGTTATTCAGAGATAATACATTGTCCATAGTTATGAGTGTATTAATGGTTGTTTGTCCCATGTGCTTTTGTCTCGGGCAACTTAAGGTGCATCCTACCTGTTGACAACTGGAGATCAGTACCACCCTTCCTAATCAGTGATAGAACATGGATGGATGTTTATTAAAAGAAATTGAGTTAAGATTGATAGTAAATAGGTATATTTTGCATAATAAAGCAGATTAACTTGGTATATTTTGTTTTGTTTTTTCTTGTTACCCTGAAGTGGGACAGTCTACAAAAGATGAGTTAGTCCAAGTCAAAGTTTCTTTTGTCTCTCTCTCTCTCTCTCTCTCTCTCTCTTTCTCTCTCTGTCTCTCTCTCTCTCTCTTTCTCTCTCTCTGTCTCTCTCTCTCTCTCTCTCTCTCTCTCTCTCTCTCTCCATGTATGATATATATATATATATATGCTGCATTTTAAAATTATACTATCTATACTATAAAATCATACTGTCAAAAGTAACTTACTATAACTCTTCTAATAGAAATAAAAAAACTATGTAAAAATACAATAATTATGCATCTAGAACCACCCCTGTACTTCCACACTTAAACCACTAGATGACAACAAAAGAAAGCGATGTGATCCTGGACACATTGTTGTATATCTCTAAATGTTATGAAGCGGGTGTTAGAGGAATACTACTCTCCATCCACTGTGTTCCATGATTATTTTTTGATAGAAACTACACATAACAGGAATAATTTAGAAATACCAAACAAGTTTATACGTTACACAAAGTATGTGATGAAATTGTTGTTGTTTTTTCCTAAATTTGGATTTTTGCCTAAGTCAGAAAATTATGATTTCATCTAACATTTATTTAATTACCTACTGGTTAAATTAAATATATATACCTCATGTATTTATGTTTTTATCTAATCATATATGAGGCACAAGCATTTTAGCCCTAATGCTTCAAGGGCTAAAATATCTATCAGGACCGGTGGGCCTGACAAACTTCTTTCTCAAACCACTGTTTTAAGGAATAAAGCAGATTGAAATAAAGTAACACTAACATTGCATTTAACTTAAATATGGTGTCATATAAGCAGTCTGAGATAGTTAATCTTATCGGGAGCATCTCCATGCAGTTTGTGGATTAAATTTGCATTTCCATCAGGACTGGAGCAAAGATTTAATCATTCCTCGGTGTACCAAAGCAAAGATGTTGTTGAGGTCGAATGTTGCCAGATTTGAAGTTAATCTTCAGAACGTATCCATGTTTGGAGATCAACGGCTTGGCTGTGCCCTCAATCGAGCGACTGTGTGGGGTGGAGGTGGTGGTAGTGGTGGGGGTATTCGGCAGTGTCAAATCAGCCAAAGGCACATGCAGTTAGAGCAGAAACAAGACAGGCTTGATTTCAGAATAAAAGCATTAATATAAACACTAAGATGAGCCAGGGTGAATGCAGAGATATTTCTAATAATTAGAGTCTTAACATAATTTAAAAAGTAGAGGTAGAAAAAAAGAAAGTTCTAAAAAACAACCTTGAGCTGAAAATCAAAATAAATTCCAAATTTGAATATCCGAAAATAAACATCCAAATTTACATCTTCAACTATAAATAGACTTTACAAAAAACAGAATAACGTCCACAATAGACATAAGAATAAAGTTAGAGAGCATTCATATTTGGATGCATTCCAAAATTACATAATATAGACCAGCATTTAAGAAATGCAGACTTTGACATTTCTTCTTTGAGAAATAAATGAAAAATAATTAATAGAAGTTGTCTGAAATATTATCTCAAAGTATAGTTAGGATTTGACTCCTTTTGCATAGTAATATTTTATTCTCTAACTTTTATTTTGAAAATTTCTGACAGAAAGAGTTTTCTATTCTTTCATAATTGACAGAAGGAGCACAGTGCACGGTCCTCCTCCTCCTCCGTCGCAGCTTACAACTCAAGTGTTCACCGGGAAAACATAATAAGAAATTCGCTTTGAGAATGAATCTGGAAAGTAAAAGAATGGAGGCATATAACAGATCCTAGAATGGGATTTTTTTTTTTGATTAGTGGCAACTGCAGCTAAAAACTGTGACACATATGTTTTATCATTGGGTTTGTTTTGTTTTTCACAATGTGCGAGGGATGGATATGGGATGGATTCCAGTTTATTTTCGCCATGGATACAAGGACTGGCAAGTTATCAGCATGAATTACTGAGGACAAAAAAACAACTTGATCTCAATGTTAAATTCAAATTTGGAGGACTGACCATGCTGAAAAGAGCGGGACTGTTATTTTCACTGGTGTATTTTATGGGGGAGCTTTGGCTCACTTCGCAGCAAGTCCTGAGAATTGGTAAGTTAAAAAGAGTCATTTTTAAAAGTAATTTCCGCCTTGCACTCATTAGCTCTTTTAGTGTGTGACTTTTCATTGTTTTTCAATGAGCCTGGGGGTTGTTCAATAATTTAAAATGTAATAAAGGACATTTTGTAGCATTAATATATTGCATGTTTTATATATGAGGAGAAATGAACAAAAATCAATCATAAAACCTACATAAAGACAGATTCTAGCTACAGTCAAAACATTTCTGCTGTCAATAAAATGTGATACTTTAACGCTCAGAAACACTAGAGAATATCTGTCAGTTAAATATGAATGTTTATGTAGAATACAATGACATTGTAGCATAACTAGCAGGTTTTTTTGGTATGGATACAGCGGTTGGCCCTTCAATGACATCAATTTTCTTATTCAAAATCATGCTAATCACCTTTGTTTTGCCAATGCCCTTCTCTCGCTCCTATGCTATCATGTTGACATTATAGCCTGCAGTAAAATGGATGAATTAGTTAATCATCAGTTGAAACTTACAGCATGTTCTAGAAAAAAAACAAACATATTTTGTAGTATAGCAGTGTGAAATACACAAAACAGAAAAGTGAGCAGCCTTTATATTGAAAACCAGAGCTGGCTCAAGGATGTAAGTACAATTTAATTTGGGGCCCACTCTCCACCACAGCATCACATTGTCCATGATTGTGCTTCTTTTTTCGATTACATTCACATTCAAACAGATAAAAATGTAATTACTCAGTTAAGGTGTGAATGAAATGTTTTTCCAGCTCAGAAAAAAAAGAAAAAATTATTAATTCAGCTTAAAAGTAGGACTTTGTTGACACAATTCTCAAATTATGAAGGATTTCACATGCAAGTAAACTAATGGTACTTACATATGGCAATAATTGTCACATGTAAGACATAATATATATTTGGCAATATGTCTTATGTAATTTTTGGGGCAAGGGGCTCCAAAGCAACCAAGGGACCCTAAGTTGTCACAAAGTTTACTTATACCTCGGGCCAGCCCTCCTTCAAGCTCATTTAGCCTCAAGTGAATCCCATTGCTCCCGTTTCATTATTCCCCTTTGATTTCTGATGCAAGTCTGCAACAATGAGCTGGTTTTTGCAAGCAAATTAAAGATCGCTACTTCTTTTCTTCTCTGCCATTAGTTTTGTGTTCCTCCGATGGGTAAGAAGATTGCATCATAAATATAGCTTTTTAAAATTTAGACCTCAGGACTCCCTGCTCTCCACTTTTATAGCCACGGGCACTGTGTTTTTCTCAATTTCTTTAACTTCTTAAGTCTTTAATATTGTATAATTGTGGAGTTGCATAACTACCACGGCTGTCAGGCCTTCGCTATCACCCTCTTTCTCCAGCTGAGCTCAGTATTGTTAATCTCTCTCAATCGTCTATCATTCTCCGAGGTCACCTAATCTTTGTCATTCTCTGCATGACCCCCACACTTCTTAATCTCCCCCATATGGTGTGTGGCTTGACTCAATTAACGTTTTCCTAACTTGGCAAGTGTTGAGAATATGACCGGCTTTCACTCTCTTTTCACTGGGGTTGGTAATAATGGTAAATCTTTTCCCCCCCAAGCCCTTAAACAACTAACACTAATCTTCTTTATGCAGAAAAGTCTCTTCCCCAAATATGGTACTTAGGCAGCACATAAATCTCATCGCTGGGGAGAGCACAGGCAGCAGCTTCGGGTTTCCACTATATTTCCCAATTTAAGATTTATTTTTCTGAAGTCTGTGTGTTTTATGTAGATGATACAAGATTTGCTTATTTATGGTGATCATATTTTTGCTCGTGGGCTTGTGAGCAACTATCTTGTACACAGAGAAACCTCAGTGCTCCACATCAAACGAGCAAACTAGACTGTTTAGGACCTCCTCCTTCATTCACAGTCTGGCATGAACCCATGCTGGAGTGGTGGCGTTGAAGGGCTGGGAGGGGAGGGGGGAAGGAGCTCTCACTGGGTAGCAGCCCAGAATGGTGAGGAGAAGAAAAAGACAACACTATGTCATTGTGATTCTGCGCTTAAAAAGACTCCTCTTCAAGAGATATTTCTGAGTCACAAAATCAAGTTCTTCAGAGTAACCCATAAATTTACGACCAGAGGGATAAAAGTCATTGGCATTATAGTTATTTTCTAATAAAAGAAAGGAAAATAGGTCTATAACAAGCACTGCCTAAAGGTTATCAGAATCTGCCAGAAACCAGAGCAGAATCTGTTATCTTAGTGACCTGCTAGCATTCATTATTCGGTCCATTAGAAAACAAATGGAAGGGCAATGATCCTAAATGTTATCTATGAAATTATTGATGGCAGCAATAACAGATTTTTCCAGAGCTCATTAATCCTAATACTGTGTAACAATGTTTAACCTATACTTTGTTTTTTGACCATTATTTTTTTTAATTCTTTAGTTTCTAAACAGATAAACAAAGGTAGCAAAATACAGCGATGAACAAGTATTGTAATTTATATTGTTATTGTGAAAAATAATGACAGGAATTTGTTGCTTAGTAAAACTATGATGGTCCCTCGTCTTACAAAAAAAAAACTGAGTGTGGTAAGGATTATTCCTCATACCATTTGAACTATTGTAAAGCTATTAGTTGATTCAGATTATCAATTTGTGCTGTATATGATTGAATTTAATATTATGTACTGTTAGCAGCAGACCAGCATGACTTAATGCAACACATTTTGTGAAGTATGCTTTTAGATAATGAATAATTCATTTTGTTTATTTGTTTTTGGGAGGCTCTGACTTCACACAGACATTTATTTCCAAAAGACTGCAACATTAAACAAAAAAAAAAAAAGAAAAACTTCAACTATCAAATACAGAGATAAAATTTCAAGTCCTTCTTACTCATTACTTCCCGAAAGATGCAAGTAGGCACAATTTAAAAGTCAGATAATAAACCAAAAATAGGTCAGAGATGTTCATCATCCCTGATGCTGTGACCTTCTTATCCCTTTGTTTGTTTTTCTTGGTAACTTGCGGAGAAAGGGAGCAGATTGCCCCATGTGTCAACACTAAACAGACAGGGTGAAATATTTACTCCTTGTGTTATTTTTCTCAGTACACATAATGAATTTCAATCTATTGTGACATTTTTTTTTATTAAACTAAATAATGATTAAAAAAATTGACAAAAATTGAAGGTATCATGAAGGTCTTTTTATGTTGCAGCTTTTAGGACAAAATGCTATGCATCAATCAAATGGCCATAAATTGGAATCTGACGACTTTTTCTTCATCAGCTCTGATGAGTGAAAAGGACAGATTCTGAAAAATTTGACTATTTTCATTCGTTAAATACGTGAACAAAAGGAAATCACAATTTCTGTTCTATAAATACATCAAGAAGCAGCATGTACTTTGATTTACATCAAATCTGCATCAGATAAAATACAAATTTTAATAATAAGCTTTTGTTGAGGTTATTAACAAAAGCTTTGATGAAAAAAATTGAATAATTGGCCGACAAAAGCCACAATGTTGCACCAATATAAACGATTCTACTATATTGCATAATATATAAAAGTCATGCCATGTAGCTAAAACCTTAAATTGGGTCATAAAATTATGTTTCACTGCGTCTTTTTATCCTGCATGCAACCAAATTTCTATCATACATTCAAAGATTTGCATCTACTCCACACAAATCACGTTAAAATTAAAAGCTACACTGCACAAGTTGGAAAGATTAGTTATAGTGCCACTCGTTCTCCATATCTGTCACAATCTTTGAAAAACTAAACATTTATTTGGGCTTGTATTTGCTTATTGTAACTTCTGTAAGCTTGTTTGAGTCTGTTGGTAGTGTGAAGGATTTCTACTAAACACATGAATAATTTCTACTGTCATTTGTACTGACGTATTTTAAAGCTAACCGATTTCCAGATATGGAAAACAATTTCAGAATCACTTTTGCACATTATAAATATTCTCTCCAGAAGTCAGGGGCAATCATGAAAAGCCACTGCGGACAACGTTTACCCATTCTCATTGGAGTGCATTTGTCAGAGCCTAAAGCATAGACAAACATAATTATTATTGGTTGATACAAGCAGAATAATTTGCATAGTCTAATAATTGAAAGCTCCGAGTTTTCACCACCATGCATGTATAAGCTCATTTGAAAATCATTTTTCACAATACAAGAGGAACTCTTGAGTTGCCATCTAATGTTCATGATGTGTGTCATCCTAGATATTAGGTTTTCTGCAGAGTCAGAACATTTTCTCCATATGTCCTGATGCGGAACAGGGTTGATTTCTTAGACCAACACTCCTCATGTTGAGGATAAATAACCATGGCTCTTAATCCTCTCTTTTGCACTCTTCAAATCAAGAAACTCATTACACTTAGCAGAAAATCTAAAGTTCTTGACTCAAGTGGAAATGAAGGGAAAATGATTTTTACCCTCTCTGTGCCTTTCCACTGAGTTTCAGAGAGGAAATGAAAAACAGTAAAACAAATCAGATACATTTGTCCTTTGTTGACAACAACAGTAGATGAAAATGTTCAGGCATTTATAATTATTATTGTATCATCCGTGTTTGGCAATCAATGTTTTATTAATAAGACATTTTTGGCTAAAATGTAAGGGAAATTCTTTAAATGAGGATTGCAATTAAAAAAAATGTGAATGAACATATTTGAATAGCAGCATTTATTTTCACTCCTTGCTAATAATGGATGCTTTTTAAAGTGTTCAAATATTATGGAAAAATCCCGCTGTGCGACTGCCACTTGGATTGTTTTGTTTCTGGAGCGATATTAAAGCTGCAGCCTTGGCACACCCGGTTAACAAAATGGACCAGATGGTCAAGAACAGGCCTATTTCCCATTTTACGCATATAAAAAACCATCTCAGGTGGAGCATGTGTCCACATTTCACTTAGGATGGTAGGCATCGCATGCATGTCTGAGAATTGTATATTCCAGTGGACAGAGAATTAAGGACTTCAACAGATCCCAGCAGCTGCTCTCTGAGGCTTGGTAACCATAATTAGGATTGGCACTTTCAAGCATGCTTTTAGTGACCAGGGAGTCCGGACAAGGCTCTCTCAGTTTGGGGTTCCAGGCTATGCTACACCGAAGAAAAAGGTCATTCACAATCAGGGTCTCAAGGGGAGCTTTTTTAAAGGACTCTCTCCTTCCAAAATCAATTACAATTTCACAGGCAATTCTTCAAAGAGCGTTCAGGGCAATGACCTATTACGTCTGTGTCCTCTGTGTTAAAGTCAGGCTAGTTTCAACATCAGAACTGAATCTGTATTAATAATCTAGGTTATTCTGAAAAATAATTACAAGCTGACAATTCTGAACTTTTCTAACTTTAAATTGCCATATTTTAGTCCCTGTTTTATTAATATAAATGTGTCACTTTGTGGGGAATTAATATAATAGTTTTAAGTGAGAGTCTTATGTCTTTAAGATCAAAATTATGAAAATCAAACATTCAGATTCTCAAAAAATTGGAAAATAGTATGCCGCCAATATTTGTAGGGTTTAGGAACCATAGCCAGTTACAAACAGTTGAAATCTTCTGAAAACGTTTAATCAGCACAGGGGAAACAGTCTCCCGCAGAAGCTAATATCAGTCTTCCATATCGCCACTCATGGGGGAACTGCCAAGGAAAATAAATAGCGCTCCAAGATTGGCTGCTTGGCAAAACGTCAGCCAATAGCAAGTCAACTAGCATTGTCCCCAGCTATGCTAGCTTCCCAAGTTGTATTTTCTTTTGCATATTTCAGATATGCTCTGTGAAAAATTCCACAAATAATTTGGAGTTACGTTCCACAGAAAAACCCACACCTTTAGAAACTACTTAAATTCTTTTTTAGACTTGGCTTCACAATACTCACAAAGCTGCTATGCTAGTTAATTAAGTACCTTTATGATAACACAACTTTTCCTTCCACTTAATTTTCCATTTTTATATTGTCTTTTGGAAAACTGTCAAATGAGGAGTATTTCCCATGATTGTGTAAGCCATGACATAATATTTAAAAACCTTTTAACATTTGTAAAAAAAAAATATTATTTTTTTTATGAGTCTTATGTAATATTTTTACTTTCTGGGAAACAAATCGTTTTTTATTAGCTGTAAGTCATCAAAATCAACTGAAATAAGCAAATAAACTATAATACTATTTATGTGATGAGTCAATATTGAATTACTGAAATAAATCTACTTTTCAGTGCAATTCTAGAGATGTATATCGAGTGTCTTTTCATAAACCTCACCTCAAAAGGCCTATATGTTTTAAGATAATTCACTAACAAGAAGTGGTGACAATCCAACATTTCCCTGGCCTTAATCTCAATGTTCTTCATGAGCTTTTTTATCTACATATTTTATGTAGTACTCATGCCTGGCTGGAGTTACATATGTGTATACTGCCAGCTGTGCCAGGGCAGCCATGTTTCTGGGGCAGCAGGCTGGATTAAGATTTGGATAGTTTTCAGAATGATTTTTTTTCCCCCCAAACACTGGAACAACCCCCCTCCTCCTTGAGGCAGAGGAGCGCGCAGTCACAGTAGATGAAAGATAACGCTGCAGAAAATAAAGAAGACAATGTGGATGTCAATTAAGTTAAGAAATAATATTTAGTGTTTATGAATTGCGATGATGTAATTGGATTTAGAATGTTTTGATTGGGGGAAAAGTGCAATCTTTCACTGGTTTTTACACAGAAAGATCTCGGAGTAGAGTGTTACTGTCTCTTTAAAGTGTTCATTATGGCTAGAGATCCACTGATCTGTTTCTTTACTGATTTGCCATCTCTGGTTTTGTAAACCTTTGCTGATGTTATGAAATACAATTTTTTAAAGAAATTCAATCCAATCTAGCCCTTTTTTTTTAGAAGCATTCCATTAATATATGAAACAGCAGTCTTTGTATATATTATAGGGGAATAAGCATCCTTAAAATGAGACTGAGATTCCTACAATGCTGCCAACATGTCTAAATTCAGTATGTACCATAACAGGAAGAAATCTTATATTTAAATGGATGAAAAAGAGTAACACTGCTGTTATATGTATAGCTTATATGTTATATGTATGCATATGCCAAGATTCCAAACTTTACAATCTCCAACGTTGTCATAGTGCTGGAGATGTTAACCTCCAACATTGTTTTCTCTCTTCCACTGGACTGCAAGAAAACATATCTTTTGGTACATCGACCTTATCCAACCCTCTGATACTTTTTTGAAAGCTATTGTGTCAGTTTGTGAAAATCAGGTTATGTAAATAAGCTCACGTCAGGGAGGGTCAAGCTCTGAGCCGAATGAAACTAAATCCAGTCATCTCATGTAGGACTCTTAGCAGGTATTACAAGGCAGAAAAAAAAATGACACTGAACCAATGCAATTGTGAGAATTCAGTTCAAACTGAGGGAAAAAACAGACACAATGGTGCGAAATGTAAATACTGTGTTGGTAACAATGGTGAGACTATATACTGTACCTAATAAGGTTTTCGTAAGGTTCTCAACCTATATTTTCTCTCTTACAGGGGGCATCTTTGAGACCCTTGAAAATGAACCAATTAGCGTTGAAGAACTGGCCTTTAAATTTGCTGTAACCAACATAAACAGGAACCGGACCTTAATGCCAAACACCACGCTGACCTACGACATCCAGAGAATAAATCTATTTGACAGTTTTGAAGCCTCCAGAAGAGGTAAGGATCGTTCGCTACCTAATCTTTTTATAGTTAAGGCAGAGCTATGAATTTGACCCTTTGTTTGGCTATTTGTTTGTTCCATGTGTTCCTCCAGCATGTGACCAGTTGGCTCTGGGGGTTGGGGCTGTGTTTGGTCCATCTCACAGCTCATCGGTCAGTGCGGTTCAGTCCATCTGTAACGCACTGGAAGTCCCTCACATCCAGACCCGATGGAAACACCCCTCAGTGGACAACAAGGACAGCTTCTACATTAACCTCCACCCTGAATACGCCTCCATCAGCAGAGCTGTGTTAGACATAGTGCAGTTCTACAAGTGGAAAGCAGTCACTGTGGTCTATGAGGATGCGACTGGTGAGTCAAAATGACATATGCACAAAATTAAGAGGTATGAAAATGTTTTTCACACCTCTTGTACCTTTTTCGTATTTTGGTATATTACAACCACAAACTTTGATGCATTTCATTGGGATTTTATGTAATAGACAAAGTAGCAAAGTTGTCAATTTAAAGGAAAATGGTCAATGGTTTTAATTTTTTTGCCAATCTGAAAGGTGCATTCCTACTCCTCCGCTACACCTAAATAAAGTCAATTTCAACAAATTGTCTTCGGAAACTGCACAGGTGGTAAACCTCTGAGCTAAACAATTAGGACAACCCTGGCAGAGGCTGCAAAAGTCCTGATCTTAAGGCAAATGTGTTCAGTTTCCACCAGGATGACAATGCTAAACATGCAACCATATCCACAAAGGAATGGTTTACAGTAAAGCATTCAAGTGTTGGTGTGGTCCGGTGAAATCTAGCTGAGAACCAGTGAGCTGATATCAGTCAATATAGATAATTTTAGTTAACTTTTTTTTTTAAATACTGGAAAAAAAATCAAATTAAATCTTTTTGTTCCTAGTGTTATTTTCTGTACGAAATAAATAAAATAGCAAAATAATTGGAAAATAATAACATGCATGTAAATGCAATGGATGGTTGTCAGATACTAATTAATTTCCTATTTATGTGTTTATGTTTTTTTATTTACTGACTTGTACTACAAATAGGAGCGGGGAAAAAAGAGAAAAGAATTCCTAAACAGCTACTCTAGGTTTTTCTAATGGTCTTTTCAGGTAACTTCTGAAACAAAACAATATTCCAAAATAAAACAAAAATCTATACTTTTGGTCGTTACTTAAAATCTGAATTAAACTAACCCACTTTAAACAGTTATTATGTACTCTAAAAATACAGGAAACAGCAAAAATAATTTAACTGAGCCCCACAGCTCTCAGGAATAACCGTACAGATTTACAACAAGATAGAATAATTGGCTACTGTCAAATGCAACTGGACATGAAAAATAGTCAAACTTATCACAGCTTAAAAGAAAACACATCACTCTCCAGCTGTTACACTTGGGCAACATACCCTACTGATATTGAAACACAGGCTTCCATTGTGAGAGACTACACTCCACTGTTGCTATGTACAACATTTGTCACTCACCAGCAGACCACAACAGCACGACTATATGATAATAAAATCTATTGCACATAAATCAAACAGAAATACAACATATCTTCATAGGGGATAAAAATAGGTACTAGAAATAAAGTTGAAATGTTTAAATTCCACCCAGCGAACAAAACAGGTTCCCTACCTTTAAAATAAACAGCTTCTTTTTCAAATGCGGTTTTCCCAGCTTTTCGTGGAACTGTCGGTGTCCAAATGTGCTTCTGAAAATAATCACAAACACAATTTTCATATTTTTTTTAGCAGTTCGTAAGCAATATTAATTATTTTTCTGCACAACTCCTAATCATAATGGACTCATTCTAAACCACTTTAGAATGGTTTAGGATGAAGTCCACTTATACAAACGAAACCCACTTTTTCTCAGTTTTACCAGAAAATAGTAGGCTATTCATTTATTAAATCGAATGCAGAAAAGTGACTTTTGTAGTTTCCCCTCGTGTCCACCAGAGGGAGACGAAGTAACTATACCGAAATTAACATAACATTTTAAATAGAAGGATATAAAACGATAACGAAAGTCGCATAATTTATTTGAATGTTTTCATAAGGTGGAATTTACAGGCATATTTCAGTTGATACGAATAAGTTTTTTATCTCAAAATCAACCAAGAACTTACCAACATGGAAGTCAAACATTCTCGCTTCCTCGACAACTTTCTAATGCTACAAAAAAGGATAGCAATTAGCTGTATAACGGTCAACTATGGCAACAAACAGACATCCTTTATGGCTTTACTTGTACAAAAAACGGATTGTATTGTTATCATTAATTTAATTTTACCCATTGTATTGCTAACCTAGCAAAACTAATCAGGATTGGCTTCCTTTACTGTGTGGTTCTAAACGTATTGGTTGAGATTTCCTATCACTGCCCCCTACAGGTCATCTCAAAAACCAATCTGTCAAAGTTACACTTGACAAATTGAGCAAAAAAAAATGTCACTGTTTCATTATATTTCTCTCACATTCATCTTACAGCAGGGTTTGTACACCCAAGAAATGTAAATGTGTTGAAAAAAATAAAGATTAAAAAAGATAAAAACATTAAAACCCGCACCCCTTTTAGGACTTCAGTTAAATGTCGTTTAACTGGGTTAAACGATGTTTGTTTTAATTATTAAAATTATTTGTAGCCAATCTAATCCTGGTATATGTTGAACGTCAGTGGTTGTGTTGGGTTTTCTTTTATGTCATAGACGGATTTGATAATAAAGACATTTGATGTTTTAGTGTCTTGGGAGTGCAGTGGCTGTTGGTGCATTCACTTTTTCTTGGATTTCTAGTTGGCTCTCATCACTAATGTTTGGCTACATGTTGAATTTTAGTTCTGCAACAGGATTAAATCTGTTTCTGCTGTGCAAGACTGATTTATCTTTGCTAATCAAACTACAAATAATAGTGGAACTTTGCAGAAGGTGATTGTGAGGATAATCTCAAAGTATTCCCAGATGTCAGAGATTTTCCTCTTGCTGGCTCCATTTCAGACAATCAATCAAGATTATTTGTGTAGCACGTTTCAGCAACAATGCAGTTCAAAGAGATTTACATCATAAAATCACAAAAATATAGTTATAAAAAAACAACATAATCTACAATTGAGAAAATCAGTATCAAACATTACATTTTGATGAGTGCCATCATCAATACACATCAAATATGTTGGTCAATGTTCATTTTATTTTGGCCACTGAAGACAAATATTCTCCTCTGATGCGCGACCAAATGGACAACAACCCATGAAGCAGCATGGCTCATCGCGCTTTTATTTTGAAAACCGACACGCAAAATGAAGCAGTCACTTGACCCATGCAATGCGAGGCCGTGTTTGTTGCCAGTCACGTGGTTTTCAGCAAGACAACACAAGGCTCGAAGCGGGGCTCCATCGGACACGCCCCCTTTTTACTCGGTACAATCCTCGAAGCCTGGATTCAGATAGCCCATCACTACTAGAAAGAACAAAGCCAATCTTTCATGTACTGTGAAACATGTTAGTGGTACTATTATGCTAACTTGATTCTATTCCTGAGACATGTTACTGAGGCTAAGGTTTATCTTTCATCAGGATAATAACTCTAAGCATTCACCTAGAGCTTGAAGCAGTGCTTAGTTGAGAGCATATTGATTTGTTACTCCAGACCGAAATCCAATGGAGAATATGTGGCAAGACTTATAAATTAATGTTCACAGGTGCTCTCCATTTACTCTGGCTGAGTTTGAGCCATTTTGCAAAGAGAAATGGGCAACACCAGTCTTCAGATGTACAAAGCTGGCAGAGACATAATTAAAGGCTTGCAGCTATCAATTCAAATGCCCACTTATGTTTTTCCGGACTCTATTTGTAGAAATAAAATGCAAAATATCTGTACTCTGTGTTTTTCCCTTCAACAAAATGTGACAAAATGTGTTGGACTGTAACTCCCGATAAGATACATAAAAGTGAATAGTAGGGCAACACGGGATAGAAAAATGTTATTTACTTCTTGGTTTAGCTCTACTGAAATGTGTATAGTCCAATAATTGTGGCCTGCTGTTTAATTTAAAGGTCTGATTCGTCTGCAAGAGTTGATCAAAGCTCCATCCAGATATACAATCAAAATCAAGATCCGACAGCTGCCATCAGGAAGCAAAGATGCCCGTCCCCTACTGAAAGAGATGAAGAAGGGGAAGGAGTTCTTTGTTATCTTTGACTGCTCTTACCAAACATCAGCTGACGTCCTAAAGCAGGTAATCAAGTTTTACAGATACACGTACTACAGATAGAAGTTTTAACATTCTCAAATATAAGTGACATGTGTTGATGTGGTTTTGGGCTTAATGTTGACCCTGAGCAAGAGTAGTCCAATTCTACTCTGAAATCCTATTTCCTGCTCCCAGTCCAGGAAGAGACATTGCACAGATTAACTGGAAAAATAACAAAATTATGACATTTACTCACTGGGACTCGTGTTAATACAAACTATCCAAATAGCACAAAATGGATCAAAGTAAATGAATGTATTGCCAAAATTGTGGTTTGGGTGTGATCTAAAATGTAAAAAAGACTATATTTTATTCTCACCTCATCCCTGTAAAAAGTGTAACTAAAAGGAAAACTGAACACCATCTTTATTTCTGTTTAGATCCTGTCTATGGGAATGATGACTGAGTATTATCACTACTTCTTCACCACATTGGTAAGAAAAAATACTCCATCAATGAGCTGATTTATGGCATGTATAAGCGCTTTGTTTTATGATTATTCAATAAATGTAATATTTTTAAAGTGAAACAAATGAGTTACACTGAAACAAACGTTTAAAAGCCTTTAGTTAAAGAAAACATGACGTTTTTTCTTTTCAACTTAATGCACATTGTATTGATTCTTCATCTTTGACCCAGTTGTTGAATTTTACAGGACTTGTTCGCCCTTGACCTGGAGCCTTACCGCTACAGTGGGGTCAACATGACGGGATTTAGGCTGCTCAACGTGGACAATCCTAGAGTGGCTTCGGTGCTGGAGAGGTGGGCCATGGAGCGCCTGCAGGCTCCCTCCAAAGTCGAGACTGGAATGATGGAGGGAATGATGACCGTAAGTTTAATCTGACATACAAATCTGGGTAGAAGCCTACAGACATTCAATATAGACACTGAAATGACTTTTGTTACTGGTCTGATTTATTAAAACAGTTTATTTTTCCTGATTAGGGTCAATAATTGCGTATTTAAATATATGCTTAGATCCCACACACATTCATTAAATGCTTGCTCAGCAAGTTACAGGGAAAGTATCAAATACTGTGATATGGTATTTGATTATTTTTTTATTATTTTTCATAGTGGGAAATATTTGTCTTATCTGACCTTTAACATTCTCTCCAGAAGACATTTGGCTTATCCATGTGGGCAGTTTTGATGATACTGATTTCAGAGTAGAAGGCGTACGGATAACTTGCCTACCCTTTATAACCAAGTTTGTTTCTTCGGAGGGGAAATGATCTGATTAGATAGTTAAAACATGGACCTAGCTGGCTGTTCCAACAGGACAATGATTCCAGACACTTAAAAACAGAGTTTTAAATGGATAAAAAAGGCTAACATTCAGCTTCCAGATGGCCTGCCCAAATCCCCACCTTAACTGTAATGACAATTTGTACATTTTACTTAAAAGTCAAACCTGTGCCAGAAAACCAATCAATTTAAAATTATGTTAAATGAAACAATGTATTTTTTGTTATCATAAAGAAAGGAATTATCTACATATTAAATAATTTTAGAGAGGCAAAAAGGCTTTTATTGAGATTCATTTCATTTTATTTGATGCAGTGGATGCAACAGGTTGTGTGTACAGTCTGAAAATTGAACTCCAAACTGTGCTCACCATGAGTGATTGTGGTTTTCTGTGTGATTGCATCTGATTCGAAGAACCACATGAGGCCGTGCACATGCATCAACAGTCCTGATGTGATAAGTGCGCGGCATGCGATTTGTGATCCCGCAGATGGATTATGATGATGGACGTGTTTCTCTTCCAGACTGAGGCGGCTCTGATGTATGATGCTGTTTACATGGTGGCTGCTGCCTCACAACGCACCTCACAGGTCACCGTCAGCTCCCTGCAGTGCCACCGACACAAACCCTGGCGCTTCGGATCGCGCTTCATAAACCTGCTGAAGGACGTGAGTTAGCTCCGTCCATCCATCCATCCATCCATCCATCCATCCATCCATCCATCCATCCATCCATCCATCCATCCATCCATCCATCAGATATGTCTGAGCAATGCTTCCTACTCAGGATGAAATTAGCTTATTTCAATATCACAATGTTCTAGATGGAAATATTTTATATTTCATCAGGTAAACCAGCATATGTAAAAAAAAAAAAAAATCCATTGAAATACACTTAATGTGGTTAATGTGGTTCTCTGCTTAATTATTAATTCTCTAAAAAATTCTCATTTTTTTTTGCTTGATTTTTCAGTTATTCATAAAACAAAAGAGTAACTGTGTTTTCTGTCCTCTTTTTTGCCTCAGACACAATGGGACGGTTTGACAGGACAAATCGCCATTAACAAGACAGACGGTCTGCGCAAAGAATTTGATTTAGATGTGATCAGCCTAAAGGAGGATGGCTTGGAGAAGGTGAACCCTCTGACACATGTACTGTTAGTGAACAACACTGGCGTTTTTCAGAGTTTTAATTCGCAAGGCTTTTCTCCCTGTCTAGGTCATATATTCATTTGAAAACCGTATCAAGTTATTTTTGTCTAACATTCAAGTCTTTTTGATGATCTAAGACAAAAAGGCAAAAACAAAAGAAATCTGTCGGGGCAAATACTTTGCCACGGCACACTTGTGAAATAAATGTATTTTATTTAAGTTAACGGACACTAAGACAACAACACATTTTTCTCTGATTACTGGTATTATTAATTTTTCAACAGGTTTTCAACCATTTTTTGCCCAGTAATAATTAAATGAAAACATAGACCCTGATATGTGATGTTCAAAATATAATTCACATGAAGAAATTTGTAATATTTTTATACCGTGATGCAAATAATTGGACCTTCCTGATATTTATTTTTTACCTTCCTTTAAGCTCACTGAAAATAGCACACTACATTACAGCAGTGCATTAAGAGGTTTATTATCTGGTAATGGAATAATAACACCTAAAAGCTTTTAGGCAAGTTCAAACAATTAAAAGTGAAAAATTACATTAGAACTAATTGAAAACTTACCAGGAAGTTAGAGTTAGCATCCATTCTTGTATTTAGAGTTAAGCTCAGGACTTTGTGATTAAATTTTTTTCTTTTTATTATTTTTGCAAGTCTATGACGGGCAGCCGCCTGAATAAAGTGTGGAAAAAGGTCTGTATTTTAGCTGCCTTTGCAGGCTAAGATATTAATAATACTTAGTGATTACCCCTGTGCTTTCTGTGATGTTTTCTCTTTTTCATAAAGAGATTTAGGAACTGATGGGAAGAAATGTTTAACATTTCTGCTCTGGCTGTTTTGATTCTAGTTGTTGTGTTCTGTTTCCCTTCCCTGTATTTGTCAATTTGCAAAAAAATCCAAACCTTTCCTTCTGCTGTATTTTTATTTATTTTCTTGCTAACAGCACCTGTTCTGGTCAGAAGTTTTCAATCATTCATCATGGGGATTAATGCCACAATAATTCAATAACTGTCCTTTTCCCTCGGGGGGGATAATTATATGTCACAGCTGCGGTGATTAAAAAACAACAACAATATTGAGTGCAGACATTTGAATTTATTATAATGTTTTTCTAATATAAAAAGGGACAAAACTATATATTTAGGCACAAACACACACCTCAATTAATATTTGGCCAAACGTAGCTTTGTTAGTGAAACCTCTAACATTCAGTTTTAGAGAGCTGCTGGTATAATTCTGGCTTTCATTTAAATTGCTTGGTTTTGCAGCTATGAACCCAACTTTTAAGCATAGTGCTTACATTTTCAACAGGGTAGAGGTCAGGATCCTCTCAAAAGGTTAATGTTGTTTGTTTCCAACAATTTTAATGCTCTCCCGCCTCTCTCCTGCCCCCCCTAATATTTGGTTAACTATCACTTAGCATGCCCTAAAGGAACCACAAGCTTTTTTCCGGTCAGAAGTTTGCTAATGGCTACAATTTTGACCACATGTTTTAGAGAAAATCCACATCAACAAGAACTTAATAACATTACTGTTGTGTGCTGTGTGATAATTGCACCCTAAAGAAAGAACAGGTCAAAATAAATAATTAAAAACTCAAAATTAAAAAAAAAGGATTCATGCTGAAAATACATATTTAAAGTTCTGCCTGGAATTGTACCTGTATCTGTATGTGTTTCTGTTTCCTCCTGCGTTGCTTTCCCTGATTGTGTGTTAGTTGATTTAGTCATAGATCGCGTCTCTCCTTCTGGTTTAGTTATTCATGTTTTCTTCTTCCTTACAGATTGGTATCTGGAACTCCCAGACTGGCCTTAATTTAACAGAAACCAACAGGGACTCCTCCACAAATGTTACAGATTCGATGGCCAACAGGACCCTCGTTGTCACTACTATTCTGGTAGGAACAGAAAAAAAGTTTGTCACCAGGAAACATTTGATTACCATAAGAATCTTTCAACCTAAGGTAGTGCATCCTTTGTGTCCATTACCAGGAAAATCCCTATGTCATGTATAAAAAATCGGATAAGCCGCTATATGGGAATGACCGCTTTGAAGGTTACTGCCTTGACCTACTCAAAGAGCTCTCAAACATTTTGGGCTTCTCCTACGAGGTAAAACTGGTGTCAGATGGAAAATACGGAGCACAGAATGACAAGGGAGAGTGGAACGGCATGGTGCGTGAACTTATTGATCATGTGAGTACTACTATTACTCCATTGTATCTTTTTCCTATGGGAATGACAAAACGTCTGCAGCATCACCTGAATGTGTGGCTTTTCTGTGTTCCCAGGTGGCTGACCTCGCTGTGGCCCCTCTCACCATTACCTACGTCAGGGAAAAGGTGATAGACTTCTCCAAGCCCTTCATGACATTAGGAATCAGCATCCTCTACCACAAACCAAATGGCACAAATCCTGGGGTGTTTTCCTTTCTCAACCCACTCTCTCCTGATATCTGGATGTATGTGCTGCTGGCATGCCTTGGAGTCAGCTGTGTGCTGTTTGTCATTGCCAGGTATTCTTACACAAGACTGAAAAAACTAAATTGGTTCATTCATGAGTTCAGCTTTAACCTAATTATGCAAATTCAAAATGTTTTTTTTTTCACACAGTAATGCACTTATAGACAAAGAAGCAGGATTTTTTTTTTATGATTACGACATTTTTGGAGATTTAATTGTTAGGATGCAACCAATATCCAGCTGGCATATAACACAGCAATGGAATGTTTCACTAAACAATAAAGGATCAGAGTAAATGTAAGTTTTGTGGTTGTTTTATGTTGTATTTCATTCAATTTTTATTCATGACCTTCAGGTTCACTCCATATGAATGGTACAACCCTCACCCCTGCAATCCAGACTCAGATGTGGTTGAAAACAACTTTACCCTAATAAACAGTGTCTGGTTTGGAGTTGGAGCACTTATGCAGCAAGGTATGCTTATTAATGGTTTTCTCTCCGAGTACTCCGGCTTCTTCCCACTGACCAAAAAAATACGTATTAGGTTACTCAGTGTATTTGAATTCTCCTCAGGAGTGAGTATGTGAGTTTATGCATCAGTGTTTTCAGTTGCCATCTGTGTTTATTTGTTGCCTTAAAATGGACTGATGGCACATCCAGGACGTACCCTGCCCCTCGTCTGGATAGGTGGATGGACATTGCAGTACCTCAAACTGAAAAATGTAGATAATATAACAAAGGTTTTTTTATTATTTGATAAAATTGCTGGTGCAGCAAGTATTGCCTTTCCAATAACTCCTGTAAAAAAATTAAAACTGAACATAGGGGCTCACCAACAAATTGGCCAGCAAATAAATTACAAAGAAAATTACAAAGATCATTTTATTAAATTAAAAAAAATAAATTTTTGTAAAGCTTTTGTAAAATAGTTCAATTTCTTTGCGGAATCACATTTCTGCAATAAATAATTATTTTATATATCTTTTTACATATCTGTGGGTGTGCCGATGAGTTTGGAGGGCACTGCATGATATTTTTTATGTAGTTTTCACAGCATAGCCACTTGCATAATACTACTAAAACTCCAGGTTTCATCATTATTTTAATTTTGGACGGATGATCTAATATGTCTTACTACCCCTCCAGGGTCTGAATTGATGCCTAAGGCTCTTTCAACAAGGATAGTAGGAGGAATATGGTGGTTCTTCACTCTGATCATAATCTCCTCATACACTGCCAATCTGGCTGCTTTCCTCACTGTGGAGAGAATGGACTCACCGATTGACTCTGCAGATGACTTGGCCAAGCAAACAAAGATCGAGTACGGTGCAGTGCGAGATGGGTCCACCATGACCTTTTTCAAGGTACATTTTTATTCATACTAAAATGTATTGTGACAGATGTGTCTAGATACATCAAGTTAAGTGCAGCGGCTGGGTAGTTTATTGTTGAAATGAATGCGAAATGTTTGCTCACTTGTACACAATTTGTAATTTTGTTTTCAACAGAAATCTAAGATCTCAACCTATGAGAAAATGTGGGCATTTATGAGCAGCCGAAAAAACACAGCTTTGGTGAAAAACAACCGCGAAGGGATTCAGAGGGTCCTCACCACAGACTACGCTCTTCTGATGGAGTCTACCAGCATCGAGTATATCAGCCAGCGCAACTGCAACCTCACGCAGATTGGAGGCTTGATAGATTCTAAGGGCTACGGTGTGGGAACTCCAATTGGTAAGACAGCAGACCAATAACACCTGAAAAAAAAGGGAGACTACCACATTGCTGTAGAAAAGGGTTCATACCCCTTTAATTCTTTTTTACATTTTGTCACATTACAACCACAATCTTCAGTGCACTATGTTAGGAATTCATGTGATAGACCAACACAATGTAGAACACGGTTGTGTTGTGAAAGGAATAATATTTAAAGTTGCTTCTGAATAAAGATCTGAAAAGTGTGGTGTGCTTCTATATTTAGACTCATAGTAACCCTATAAGTTACAGTTAGCCTTCGAAAGTCACCGAATGAGCAAATGGAGTCCACCAATATGTAATTTCATCTCAGTATAAGTACCATTTGAAGCTCTGTGATGTTTTTCAGACATGTTGTAATACACCGTCACCATGTTGAAACATGGTATTGACAGCATCATGTGATATAGGATGCTAACTGAATAAAGGTCGATTCTACAAAGTATTAAATTAGGTGACCTCAATGTAAATGCAGATCAAGTATTTTTGATTTTATGATATACAGTTGGAAAACGTCACACATATTCCTTTGACTTCAAACTTACGTGCTGCTATGTGTTGGTTTATGAACTTTGTGTTTGTAACAGGACAAAATGAGACAAGTTTTCAAGGTTATGAAAAGTTCTATAGAATGTTTGTCCAATAAACAGCATTATGCAAAGTAAGGCATTATATCAGCATAATTCTGCTGTGTTCTGCTCCAGGCTCCCCTTACAGAGACAAGGTCACCATCGCCATCTTGCAGCTTCAGGAAGAAGGAAAGCTGCACATGATGAAGGAGAAATGGTGGAGAGGGAATGGGTGTCCAGAGGAGGACAGCAAAGAGGCCAGTGCTTTGGGTGTGGAGAACATAGGAGGGATCTTTATAGTGTTGGCAGCCGGACTAGTCCTCTCAGTTTTTGTTGCAATTGGAGAATTTATTTACAAATCCAGAAAAAACTTGGACATTGAGGAGGTGAGTGTTGGCCAGTGTGAGTGGCACAACAAATATTAACAAATTATGGGACTCAAACACTTCAATGCACCTACTATAACTTTGTGTTATCATATTCTTTTACAGGACTATGGTTATAAGAGAGCCAATAATAAAAAAATATAAGTCCGATTAAACCTAGACTTAAAAACTGCATTGCTACAATCAAAGAATATGTTTTTAACAAAAACGTTGTGTGTTTTAGTAGTTTTTAAAGTAGCAAACACAAAGATGTTAGTCTTGATTAAAGTTTTTATTAGAATCCCTTTCTCTGAAAACAAATTATATGAGTTGTGATACTTGACTATCTGGGCTGGCCATATTTCTTGGAATGCAGTGTAACATTGTTCTGCATGTCGGAAGCATTATTGTTAAGCCTTCACATTTCATCTGAATGGAGAGGCTTGAGAACATTTTTTTTCTGCCATAACAGCTTCAAAAATTGTGTTTCGGAGGATTTAAATCTTTAGCACAGCATTGCACAGAAATGGACTTATTCGCTCACTGTTGTTTATGAATGACTGTTCAGTGAAATACTTGTTCATGAAGTTGGTTTACATTTTTTGTCTAATATGAAGTTTATGAACATGCTTGTTCAAGATTTGTTGTGTTGAAATTGTTTTGGGATGACTAAAGTCGTATGAGAACGTTGCACCTTTTAATATTCGACTTTTTTTTGTTCCATTTTTTTTACTGATAAGAGGTATTAATACAAAACTCTAATAGGTATGTATGTATGTTGGATACTCATCTTGTTGAATGCTCAAACGACAAGCTATTTTCATATTGCTGGCAAAATATTCAAAATGTCCTGGTATTTCACTGGGTCTTCGGAAGAGAAACAAACAAACCAACAACATCACAGATCTGTCACTGCACTTAACAGATCATTTCTCAAATACTCCACCTTTGCTTTACAACAGATTTTGTTTCAGGAAAGCTTAATATTATAGAGCAATTAAGAGTAAATGGCACCACTTCAGACATTATCCAGACATTAATGGGGAAGTAATGTGTATGTTTTTATGAAATCTGGAGTTCTAAAAAAAACCCCAACCACAACAACAACAACAACAACAACAAAACACAGAGGATCTAAGCAGATTGCCTGAAAGTTGGTGGTGATTTTGTTGAAAGAAAAGAAAAGGGGCAAAATCAACTCTCTGTGGTGTTGGCTAGAACTAAAGCAGGTCAGAGAAATATGAATTAACCCAGTTTTCCAGCTAGAGATATCTGAAATGTTTGCAAATGTTTTGTGGTGCATTGTCAAAATTGTGGTTAAAAGAATGCTGCCATTTAGAAATACATTAGACATTTAACCTTATTTTCAACCTGTCACCTTTAATCTGACTAAAAATTTCCTGTGTTAAGTCAGTGTGCTAGGAAGGTAACCTACAATTTTTTTCTGCTTAAAAAGTTTATAAAGCATGAAAATACAAGCATTTGTGTGAAAAAATTTTATATTCTAATAATGACTAACTTAGGTTTTCCTCACTTTCCTATTTAATTTCCATCATAGCAATGTCCCTACTATTCTCTCTAAGAGTATTATGGACTCAGGATCTTGGCAATCAAGATACATCAGGCATAAAGAGCAGTCAAATTCCATCCAACGGGCAATCAGAATATTAATTCATAACACCTAAAACATTATAGGCAACCAAATAATGTGTTTAAGCTTTTCTTTGCAATCATAACATTGGACAGATGAAAGCTTTGCTGATGATTCCAATCCAATATAATCTGTAGCTCTTAGTTCAATAAGCAGAATTGACAGCAAGCATCTTGACTCCCCCAAATGAATGGCTGAAGTTTTAGAACTGCTGTTCTGTTTCTACCAGTTTTCGAAGATTTTTGTTTGCATTAACTGGCAATTAATCATCAGAAATTGGCAAATTACTACAGCTGAATACACAATATGTGTGTTGGTTAAGTCTGGGAAGGGAAAAAAAAAACAATAAGGCAACATAAAAACAACAATGACTTATTTCCAAATCAAGAAGAACAAACAAAAAAAAAAACACATTATCTGTATGGATTTTTGCTTTTCCCCAAAAGCTTTTGAAACTTTGTCATGTTAAATAATCTCAACTCCTGCAATCACCTCTATGAAATGCTTCACTTATGTTCTCTTTAACTTGTTCATCTAGTGTTTGCGGTGTAACCGGGATGGTTGTCAAGTCTAAACACCAACAAGTGTGTAGTTTGTCACACTTCAAGCAGCTGTTAATCTGACTGTTGCATATCAGGCTTCTAGCTAACTAGGGTCAGCATGTCCCCAGCTTTCTCTCATTTCTTCTTTGAGATTACAGTATTATGGACCTCGTTTATATAACCTTGTGAATGGGGCACAGCCCCACCATCAAACTTAAGTTCAAAGTCACTTCGGTATGTAATCAGTGAGCACGCAGTACTTCAGTGGCTTAAGACTTTGTGAGGAGGTCATGGATCTTAAACTGGGATTGATTCAAGTATTGTGTCATTTTTTAGTATCTGTGAGGACCCATGCTGGAGAAATGTTCATGTTATAAATTTGCACAGTTCACTGTTTCTTTATTGTGAGGAATAGCAAGAACTCATGTACTTCAATTTGTTTAATATTTATTATTTAAATCCACATTAATTGCAGAAATCAGACTTTGCATTTTTGCGAAGTCTGAAAAAGTATAGATTTAGTAATGGCTTCTTTCTCTTTGAGTGGTTTTTCAGTTAATGTCTGTATAGGATTCTGTTCACTGCGTGGTCAATGATACTCTTACCAGCTTCAATCAGCATCTTCTCAATTTCTTTTGCCTTTGTTGTGGTGATACTTGACAAGCTAACTGCTAGGGTGGAGGAAAAGGTAACATTACATTAAAATTTTGGTCACTTTGGTATCTTTGCTAGGTAGAAATGGTGCAATAAAAAAATAAGTATATAAAAAAACAAACATAATTTTTGGTATATCTTGACAAAAAATCAGCTTAAACCTTATTTAACAGTATGTCACATTAAACGACGTATAATCATTGTTATTATAACCTTTAATGTTTTTTCACAAACTAACTTTGAAATGCTTTATTTTCTGACTTCCATCTCTTCCAGTGCTAAATATAAAGTCTGTTAGAGGTTAAGGATTAGATATACAGAAATTACTACGAAATAAGTAGATTTATCTATTTAAACAATAAATATATGTTAACAAAAAATCCTCCACTAATAATTTGTGTCATGTATAATAATAATGTTACAATTTTGCAGCTTGAAATGGTGTGAAGGACGGAATAAAAAAACAAACAAACAAACAATGCCAACACAGAGACAGATCTTTTGGATTTTAGGGTAAAAGGAGAATTTTCGGCTTTGACACAGAAGATTCATCAAGACAGATACAGCAGGCTTTGCATTAATCTCACGATATGACTGTTTAAGGTTCTGGTATTCTGATGAATTCCAGGATTGGGCTTTAACTGCTTTCATTTTGTTTGCTGGTCTTTAATCTTCTAACCCTGCGTTCTTAATCAGAACTCAGAGCAGGTTTTTAATCTTGCATGAATGAGGCCGCGGATTATGGGCTTCTGACCTTGCCATGCTGCACAGCTGCTTCCGCCTCAAATCAAGTCTCTCGTCCCGTTTAGCTTGAAAAACAGGATAATCTTATTTTTGCACTACAATGCTCCAAGATCTAAACTGTGTTTAAAACACACACACACTGAGCATTAGAACCCTATTCTTTCTGTGAAGAAGATTTTACAAATTGATTTATCCCATGCTGATTTGGAAGTTGCTATTGTCTATTTTTGAATGAGAAAATGGTTTGTTTTTGTTGCTCTAAATGTAATACTTAAACTTGGTAATACATCATGCAAAGGTTTTTTAAAGTTATTTTACCATCCATAAGTTATAGCCATTACATTTCAACTGATATAAAAAAATTAGCAGTGGACAAAAGCATATTGACAAATTTGCAACGACTTTGAATTCAATCTTCTAACAATTCATAATATTAAAAAGGTAGAAAAAAAAATGCTGCCTTAAAGGGGGAGTATGAGGTTTATATCATGTTATGTTATTCCCTCATCAAAAACATACCTGGAGTGTTGTTTTGATTTTTTAATATATGTTTTAGGAATCCTTGACTCTCCCGCGGAAACCATTTGCGGGTACCTAAATGCTTGCTCTCACAAAGTGCTGCCTATTTCCACAAGGCTCCTACTCGGAGCTACAATCTCCAGCCAAACTTCCGCGTCACAGAGCACCCTTCCCTAACAACTTCCCCACTCAACTCCATCAGACTAGCAGCAGCAGTAAGCAAACATCTGTTGGAATTGCGAGTCTGCTGAGCTCATCATAGGAACTACTTCTGAGTCCAGCGCTTCTAATAACTGATGTAAACAACATGAGAAGGATTGTGTGATGACTTCCTGAGGGAAAGAGTAGGAGCTTCTTAAAGAGATACATGCCCAATTTCATGGCGTCAAATTACAAAGTCAAATTTCTTTTGAGTCATGTTTTCTATATACATGGCATTTTTTATAACAATCGAAGGTAACATAGTTACTTGATTGTGCTACAAAATAAAACTATGCAGCGCCCAGAAAATATATAATACCATCCCTTTAAAACAACTGTGTGCCAGATAGTTTTTGTCATCAACTTTTAGATGGATCCGTGCTGCAGCAAACATAAATCTGTTAACAGGTAGTTCAGTCTTTTGCTTCAGGTGGAGCAGGAACACGTCCAAAAGTTGCCAGACAATGGCGGTTCAGGAGAGGAGAAAACACTCATGTGGTAATCTGTATCTCATTTAAAACATTCCTGCATGATCAATTTAAAATTCCTTTCTCACTGACTAAAATGCGAAAACACTTTTCTTCTTCAGAAGAGGTAGATTGATGTAATAAACACAACAAAGGATTTGGCAATACTTTGTGAGCGTCATGTTTTGATGACTGTATCTTAGGGACAGGATTTTTTTTTATTAAAGGTTATGCATTTCTAAATTACACCACATTCTTTTTCTAAGTGTCTACAAGCCACATCAACCCTTGTAGATTAAAAAGCACATCAATTCATGGTTTGTACAATTTAAAATCAAATAGTTTCATTTGCTTTATCCATATGACAGGGGACTTTAGTGAGAAAGTGTGTGTATCTCAGTTCAGTGATCTGATTTGAATTTCAAAAGGAGCAAGAGGCCATATGATGCTCAATTGGTCAATTTGGTTACATAAGAATATGATGACTATACTGTAATACCTTGGGCTTTATGCAATCAAACTTATATGTTGTTTGAAATCTTTGTTAGTTTTTTTTCATCAACTATTCAAAAATAATGGCCTGCAAAATAAGGTTACTGACGGCAATTTGTATGAAGAAATTGTACATTTGAAGACTTTTGTATTTAATCAATAAAGTCAAGCTTTTGAGGCAGAGCTACACTTCCATCTGCTGGCCAAAGTTTGCAAATGTACAGAAAACAGAAAAAAAAAAAAAAAACACTGTGGCGTGTTAAAATGATTTAAAGAAAACTGATTATTAACAAAATGTTTATTTGAATTTGTAATTCATAAAACCATTTTATAAAAACAATGCTCAACATGCAAAAGAACTAACATTTAAAGATAATGCCATCAACATTAGTACTGGGTTAATGTGCAACAGTGCTTAAGA